GAGAGAGCGAGAAAGAGCGAGAGAGCGAGAGAGAGAGCGAGAGAGAGCGATGAGAGCGAGAGAGAGCGAGAGAGAGCGAGAGAGAGCGAGAGAGAGAGCGAGCGAGAGAGAGAGAAGGAGAGAGCGGGAGAGGAAGTGAGAGAGAGGGAAACAGCGAGAGCGAGGGAGCGAGAGAGAGCGCGAGAGAGTGTGCGAGAGTGCGAGAGACAGCAAGAGACATAGATATACTCGAGATACCAAAATCCCATGCCTAATCCACCACCCCCATCCGCCATTCGGACCCACTGATGGAGGACTCAAATCTTCCCCACATCTTGGGTGAATAATTGGGTGTGAGATGGGCAATTCCGTCTCTCTCTTTCTGCCGGTTGCGCGACGTATTTTGGAGCCGCGCGTAGTGTCCAGGTGGTCGGACACCTGGCCCCCCGTCTCTCCGGCCCCCAATCTTCCATATATATCCTACTATAAGGCTACTGGGGGCATTCATGGAAGCGAGTCACCCCCAATTGTTGTGCAACCGCCGCGAGGCTAGCTACCTACCTTCCTTTGGGTGGCGCAATTTGGTGTTGAGCGGAATTTTCGGAATATTCCGCCATTTGACTGAAGGGCAGGTACTGGACTGTTAGCGGCGGGGGGCTAAATTTCGGACTATAGACCGGTGCGGTGAAAAACTCAAACAGAGGATTGATATCCTTTTTGACGCCGTATCAAAACATCACTAGAAAAAGTCATAATATTCGGAAAATTTGATTTACCGTTAAAAATAGTCAGAAATTTTGAAAAATTAAAATTTTCTAAATTCTTGACGCTTTTTGTCAAAACCACGATTAAACCATAAAATAACCCCCCGTTAGCAGACTAGTAACCAAAGGTTTAGCGTCGCCATAGGCTGAAAGTTGCCCGAGCTACCGTATCCTGAAACTTCCCATCACAGCGTAAGCGATGCAATAAAAAAAACTCACCAAGAATTAGCGTGCCTTTATAACGCTCAGGGAATAAGAAAAAAAATACAACTTTAATTTTAAAAAAAAACACCAAAATCGACACAACCTCGCTTTCACTGAATTCTTGTTTGGTTCCTTTTTGGGTTCGATCATCGAGTTCCTGGCGCTTAATTGCCTTTAAAATCTTTAAACTTAATTCCCGGACCTAAGGGTGAGCCTGAGCCTCGCCTGAGCCAAATACTATAGCGCAAGCGTTCATTTCCATTCCGGCTCTCCGAGCTCGGTAATATTTCGGGGTGGAGGCGGCCGGGTAGTGGCAATCAGGATTGGCCGGCTGGTGGTGTTTGTATGTGTAAGTACGTTCCTATCTCTCTGTAAAACCACCTCTCTCTCTCTCTCTCCTCTCTCTCTCTCTCTCTTCTCTCTCTTTCTGCGTTTGTGTACCCCACGGACAGGAATTGTGCGTTTTTGTGGGCCTTTTAATTAAAATGCTTGCCCCGTGGCCCGGGAGGATGAGGGACATTGGTATGCCTTTAAAGGGGTCGCCGAAACGGGACCCGGACACGAACCCCCGGGTGAATGACCGATGGGTGGAGAGGAGATAGAGAGAGAGAAAGAAAGAAGAAGAAGAGAGGGGGAAAAGAGCCAGAAGAAACGACTCTAAATTGCAGCAGCGCGCAAAGTCATATTAAGCCCCGGATGTTTGGAGGATTCAAAGATCCCACAGAGGAGCTTCCACCTGGTGGGAATATCAAAGCAGTGCGTAGAGCCATCCAGTTTTGGCCTAAAGGCCGGGAAGGAAAAATCGACGTCTCGCTCGGCTAGGTGCCGACAGCTGCGCGGGAACACCTTCAAAGCCCGAAGTTAACAAGCTGGGAGCCGGTTGTACTCACCTGGAAATCTGGATAAACGGTCCAGTAATATTCTTGAAAAGTCTTACACTTCGTTTTGAGAAGCTAGGCACGAGGTCACCGGATGCCATATCCCCAGATCGACCCTATTTGTTCACCATCCATAAATGGTGAATGGCAAAGTGACCATTATTACGAGAGAGAAAAAGCGAGAGAGAGAGAGAGAGAGAGAGAGAAAGCGAGAAAGCGAGGTCCAGGTGGAGGAAGAGCTGCAGGATCTCCATATACACACTGGGACGAGGGTAAGTATCCCCTACCCCTCCGCATCCTCCCCCCCTACTAGGGCGTCTTATTATACGTGTAGTAGTGGCCCAGGGGCCTCGAGTTTGAAGCCAAGCGACAATTTGGCGTCCTCAGGGCACATCCACTACCTATAGGCATATCCGGGATGGGGGTGGAGGTCTAATTGCCCCCACTGCTGAAAGCCCTGGCCTGGAGGGTTTGGATTACGCGGAGATGGGGCATCCTTGCGACATTCGGGATATGTTGGGTAACAGGTTTGGAAAAGATGATAGACACTACGCTACAGTACTGAACAAGGAATATGGCACTGAATTTTGAGAGGCTAAAGGGTGACTAATACTAAGACTTCAGGCTATCTCCTCCGTCCCTCACGAAACGCGCGCGACCTGGCTCACTATGTCCAAAATCGTGCAAAAAGCCGTTTTTACTACCAAATTACGAAAGTCGGTTTTTAAATGTGAAAACGAGGTTTGTAAATGCTGATCTTGATCAGTGTGTGGGGTTTCTGAGCGCGCGCGTCCGAATCCGAAGAGCCCTAAACTCTAGCTCCTTCCCCGTCGCGTTGCCTTCGGCTTCAGACAGAGACCACAAAAAAGTTACTATAGTTGATATTTGCCAATGTTTTGCATATTTTAATTGATAGATAGTACTGGTATCAAACATACCGGTAACTGCTTAAAAATTCGGATTTTCTGGCCTTATTTTTGATTTTGCTGCTTTTGCTGCTCATATTTTTGATGCAATTTGAGAAGTCTGGTTGTTTTTGCAAAAAAAACTTAAAATCCTATAAAAAATGGTTATGTGTTGCTATAGGTATCGGATTACTGGGAAAAATTTTTTCACCCCCCACTAAAAGACTCCCCCCTGCTAATAGTCCAGGAACCATTCGAAGCTCGGGAGCTAGGAACTGCGGAGCTTATGGTAGCTTTTGGAAATCAGCAGCTTTCGGTAAAAGCGCTAGGAAGCTAGAGAGCTGTTCACCCTAAAACACTTACCGATTTCCCAGGCCACGACACGGTGTGCAAGATCCTGATCCAGCACTCGGTCGACATCAACTCGCGCAACGTCTTCGACGCGTCTGCTTTGGACCTAGCGGCTACGGTAGTCCAAAAAATAAAAATTCAAATTTTTCAGGCTGGTCATCTCCAATGCGTCCGCGTGCTCGTCGACAGTGGGTTGGTGGAATGTGGATGGGGATCGGTTTGTGAGAGGTAGCAAAAAAATTTTAATAAAAATATACAAAAGTTACATTGCAAAATCCAATTATGTTTTAATCCTACTATATATAAAAAAATAGTGTTTGTGTGTCAGTGTGCATTTGCATGCAACTTCCGTCACCGTGTCCGGAAGATAACTCATGAGGGGAAGGGTTTTCAGCTACGTATGATACGTCATTAGGTGCGTAATGGCACCGAGATGACTGCACGCATACCAGATTTTGCAATTTATGCTATTTTCGACGTTAAAATTAAGTTTTTGTTGAAAAATCGGGCGACCTCTTTGTTAGGAAATAATTACCATACGCCGGAAGTGGCGATAGCCTATTTAATGGGAGAGAGCGAGCACTTCTCAGTGTTTCTCATCGCAGTTTGGGCGAATTATGCAAAGTGAAGAATATTATGGGATTTAGATGGGTCCAGGGTTGAAAAGTCGCGAAGCGGCGTGGTATAAATCTAAATATTAATACGCGAAAATATGAGAAATTAGCAACTTTTAGCACCACACCACTGCATCGAGCCGCCGAAAACGGGCACGACAAGGTGGTGGCGTTTTTGTTGAGCTCGGGCGCAACGATTGGTGGGTTAAAAAATTAATAAATACGCAATAAAAATAGCTAAAAATACAAGATTATAAATCATGATAAAAACGATCATTTTTCGTCCTTAAAGCATTCTAAAAAACCGGGAAAAGCTTCCTTTCCAGACGCCGCAAATCCGGTGGGTCTGACGGCACTCGGCATCGCGCTGCAAGCCGGGCACAGGTTTTGTAAAATTAAAATCGCGGTAAAAACTATTTTTAAAGGACAGTAGCCGAAGCATTGTTGGCGAGACCGGATTGGCGGCTTCTTTTGCGCCGTTCAAATACCCTGACGCACACCCGACATAAGGTAGGACTCAAAAAATAGGCATCTTCATCGCTATGATATTCTTTAAAGTAATCGGCTCATCAATAAGCCAAAACTAGCATTTCAATCGTTAACCAATTGCAGACGGAGAAAGAGACGCCGATGCGGAAGATGATCGCCAAATTCCCCGAGCTGGCGTCGCTGGTGATGGACAAGTGTATAACGTAAGTTTCGGAGGATACCGGGAAAGACAGGATAGCTAGGATCTTTTAAGGAGGTTGTTAGGCTTGGCTTAGGCTTGGCTGAGGCTTGGCTTAGGCTTGGGCTTAGGTTTAGGTTCGGCTTAGGCTTAGGCGGGCCAGGAAGTCGGATAAATATAAATATAATAGAACAAAAACAAACAAAAATCAATTTATTTATTAGTAACTTTCATAGTACTTTCATATTATATCGTCTCATTCAAGATCCAGCACATAGTCCTTGTATTCGGGCCGGTCCCACGGGGGGTCCGAGGAGCGGACGGTGCGCGTGTGCCAAACGTAGAGCTCTTGCGGGGGTGCTGAAAAAACTGTGGTTAAAAGGGTTGTTAATGGGGGGAAGAGCTCTGGCTCCCTTTAAAGTCTTCAGTCCCACCCCTGGTTTCGCTACGCCGAACGCATCGATGTCGCGCTCCTCTACGCCGCACTGCAACAGGAAGCAACTTTCCTGACGCCCGTGGACGCATTTTGGCTCGAAACGAGGGTTTTTGCTGAAAAGAAGACAGATTGGAGATTGGGAGAGAGAAATAAAAACCGAGAGAGAAAGCGAGAGAGAGATAGAGAGTGAGAGAGAGAGAGAGAGAGAGAGAGAGAGAGATAGATCACCTGATAACAATGTCCAGGCTGATAGCAAACGCGGCTATATCCACGGGAAACGGGCTTGACGGCAGGTAGCGCACCAACCAGTCGACTACCTAAATCATAAGCCAAAAAATCTCGCTATCAGAGCCGGAAATTACCACATTATTTTCTACGATTGGTGCCTCGGCTACGACGCCACCGACGGAGCCTAAAAGCGTAAAAATGAGACCATTGGCCACTAAGGAGCACCGACCGACGGGCCACACACCGAGACGCTCCACCCTTCTGATGCACTCCTCGAAGAGGCGGAGGTCGTACGTGTTATCGTCGTCGCCAAAGTAGACGTTGGCTTGGAGGTCGGGGCCGACGATCTAAAATGAATTTTTGAAGAGAGAGAGCGAGAGAGAGAGAAAGAGAGAGAAAGAGAGAGAAAACGTACTTTCTTCGTGTTGTTCCGCAGATATTCGAGCGCCGTGTTACGCTGCCACCAGCCTTTTGCTAAAAAAAGGTTGCTTGTAGATGCTACACATCTGCAACGCGTTCAGCTAACATGCTGTCAGAAAAACATGCAGGCAAGCTAGCAGAGAATGCTCCGGAAAACTAGGTTTCTGCTAACTCGCTGAACCTGCTGAAGTTGTTGCCGTTGGTAGAGATGGAGAAAGAGAGAGAGAGACAGAGACATGGAGACTATAACGTACCATCATCGGATCGTCGTACGCCCGGCGCGACCCCGGCCAAATAGGTGTACGGTAGTTGGGAGCGGCGTAGAATGTCATCTACTGCCTTGACCGTCCAGTCCCCGTCCTCCACGACAATCCAGTGCAGAGCGGGCACCTGGCGCAACGTGTTCGCCAGCCTAAAAAGGGGTAGATTACCGTCTCGTCCCCCTGATAGCAGACAAGAACCGGGGTCACGTGCGCGTAGGAGGGCGTTTCATCTACTTGCTAAATCAGAGCCAACCGGCCTCGTCATGTCAGCCAGTCGATTCATCCGTCGGTGCGTCGGCGTGACGAAGAAGATCATCTTTGGCTTCTGAAGCATACAGATACAGTAATCAATGGCTAAGGCATTACCGTATCCAGGCCCAACGCAGCGCCTTGATGCAACGACGCCTTGAGTACGAAAAGCAACCCAAGGAATACGGCAGTCGCCATGGCGAATGCTGAAAGAACGATTTTGCGGGAGTACGGTAGCAAAAGTACTTTTAAATGGCCGGGCCACCGGCCATTTTGTCGCATGGTCATTGTGGCTATGAGAGAACAGAAGAACCATCTTTGCGCAGCTTTATCTCCAGCTATGTAAAATATATATTTATGCAAATTTGGCAGTATTCAATTCCCCACGGGCCATTTGCCCACCTGATCTAAAAAGGGGAAGGAGAAAAGATTTGAAGAGATTTTGAATTTGAAGAGAAAAGATTTTATGGCTTATCCTTTCTTCTAAATAACAATTCACGTTGCTTTTCAAACAATTTTCATAACTTTATTATTTCATAAATTTTACACAAGTTTTTCCATTGAAAATGCCGATTTTTAAAAGCTTTTCAGCATTTTTGTGGGCCCTAAGAAAAATTAGTTCTTGAATTGCCGTGCTTTTTAGCACATATTTAAAATATCCGCTTAAAAAATCTATTAAAAATTCATCTAAAATAAATTAATAAAATAAATTCGAAACCACCCCCATTTTATAGCATGGAAAACGAGGGCGCCTACCTGACGATGATCTACGATTTCGAGTTTATCGACGACACCTACATGATGCCGGTTGAAGAGGATGGGAAAACAGGTGAGTTTTTGCTTAAAATAAAGCACTTTATTGTTACAAAATTAGTTAATACAAACTTTGTTATTGTTTTTAGTGCTAAAAGCCCTGGACCAATGCGGCAACGGTCCATATGATGAAAACGGGCGGGTACGGCCGGAGGCGGTGCCCTACAACAAAAACCACGACCGCATCTACTACGAGCATCCGCTGAAGATGATGGTTAGATCTGGGAATTGACGTTTTAAAACTAAACTAAACTTTCAGGCCGATTCCGGAGCGAATGTCGCTTCTATCGCACAAACTCGTCAAAGAACTGCTAAAATTGAAGTGGAATAACCTCGGGAAATACGTCTACTATTCGGGTAGGTTGCGAGAAAAGTCCTATTTTCATAAATTCCAGCCTCATTCGTCTACCTCGTGTTTTTTGCTGTGCTTCACCACCTTTCTCGCCATGATCCCGGCGCCGTTTAACGTACGATACGGCAATGGGACGATGATGGACCTGATGGACGATGCGAACGCTACGTGTAGTTCGGCTGTACGTTTTTGTTTATTCGTTATTTTTGGCAATTTAGCTAATTCTAAATCACTTCTAAACAATTCTAATCGTTTATAGAGGATGAAAAGGCACTAATTGAGAATTTTCAATGAGCGCACATCGTTCGTAGGCCCAGAGGAATGCGACGTAGTCCAGTATCCGGCTACGTGCCGGTACTATAAATACGACTACTTTTCCCAAATAATCGCAATAATAGCAGATTCATTTAATTTAATGCGTTTCTCTACTTTCAAATTGATTAATTTTTTATCTTTTTTTTTCAGCAAGACTTCCACAACGCCTATATCAACCTCTTCAAAACGATCGTCATGTGTCTAGCCGGCGCGCAGATTGTTAAAGAGGTACTTAAATACTTCTGGTGATTTTATTTTATACGTTTTATTAATTGTATACAGCTAATTGATACACATTTGATCATTTTCAGATCTACCAATTCTACACGCGCCGCTGGGCCTACCTCTCGTGTAGGCATTCTCATCTTTTCTTAGCCTTTTTTAGTGGAAAACCTGCTCGAAATCTTCATCTACACGGCGGCAATCATGACGATGTACGACTTCTCTCCCTGCTCCGAGCACTCGGCGATACGTTTGGTACGATTTTGACGTTTTAACGAGCTTTTTGAATTTTCAGAACTGGCAATGGATGCTGGCGACGCTGGGCACATTCTTGGCGTGGATCAATTTGGTAATTTTGGGAGGTATCGCGAATACAACAATGCCAATTTCAGCTACTCCTCATCCGCAAGCTGCCCCGGTTTGGCATCTTCGTGCTGATGTTCGTCGACGTGTTCAAGACGTTCACCCGGTTCGCGCTCATCTTTTTCCTGTTCATCACCGCCTTCTCGATCACCTTCTTTTGATGATGCAGAATCGGGTGGGTTTTTCGCTGCTAATTTTTAGTTTTTTTTTTCAGCCGGAGTTCTCCACGATTCCAATGTCGATCGTCAAGACGCTGGTGATGACCATTGGGGAGATGGAGTACAACGGCATCTTCCACGGCACAGTCGATGTACACGAGGAGAGGTGGGAACGTTTTAGAATATATTTATTAGTTCTTTTAGCCTATTCTCCAAGGCGATCGCGTTCCCGGTGTTTTTCCTGTTTTGCGTGCTGATGACGATCCTCCTGATGAACCTGCTGGTCGGTTTGGCCGTCGACGACATCAAGTCGGTACAGGAAAAGGCCGAGCTGAAGCGGCTGTCGATGCAGGTGGTCTTTTCAGGGTAAATTTACGTTAAATATAACTTATAGGTCGACCTGGTGCTCCAGGTGGAGCGCTCGATGTCGTTTTGGCGGAAAAAGTTTACGCGCTCCCGGCTTTCGTTCTACCCGAATCGAATCACAAAATGGAAGAGGTTAGTTGAGCTAAACTGGCATAGTATATTTAATATTTTTTTAATGTTTCCACCCAGTTTTGTTTGTAATTTCAAAGTAAAATTTTACAGATTTTATAAAACTACAAAAAACACCGATTTTTGGACCAAAATTAAATATTTTCGCTGAAAACTTGTGATTTTAAGATTCCGTCGCTTGTTTGGTGCCAATCAACTCGATGATTACAGCGATGTTTACGATCAGCAAGCGGCAGAGGTGGGTCTAAAAAACGAAGTTTTGAAATAGAAAGCCAAGCCCTTGCTCAACCCCATAAAACATGAAGACTTGTTCAGGAAGAGAGCAGCGGGTTGAAGCGCGAGCTGGGCATGCAGCGCGAGCTGATCAACCACTTGCAGACGAATGTCGACTATTTGTACGAGAAGCAGGTAGACAAAAATTACAAACTAAATCGTGCCTTGTAGGTGAAATTCCAAGATATGCTCGAGTCGATCATGGAGAAATTGGAGACGATTTCGAGCGACAGCCGGAAGATGCTCGCAAATTCTAGCTCAGCGGAGGCAGCGCAGAAGCTCGAAAAATCGAGCTCTGCCGAGGCTGTGCCACCGGCTAGTCGAGACGCTACACACCTGCTCACAACTGACCAGGACTTCAAGATGGCCGATGACGACTAGAGGATTATTGTATTTGTGGATTGAACGGGTGTTTTTAATTACTTTGGGTAATGTGCAATATGATATTTTGAGTGTTATTGGTTTTTTCAGTAGGCTAAGCTTCAGATGGCCCTCAGCCGATTTCTAACTACTGTATTGCCGCTTCCCGTTGTGCCACAGGACTGTAAAGTATACCAAAATACTCGCAAGACCAAGACGACCATTTTGGTCTACGTTACACACCTGTGGACTTAGGGGAAGAGGAGATACAAAAGTTGGGGTAGGCGGGAGTTTTTCTAGTCTTTGCCTAAATAAATTCTCAAGAGCTTTGTAGATAAAAATTCACATCGAAACCGCAAACAAAAATCAGCAAGTATTTATCGGCAAAACATCCTCGCGTTCGATCAATTCTCGAGCCACATCTCGCGCAGCCGGTACGGGCCCTTCTCCTCGTCGATGCGCACCCCGTCACGGTCGACCATGTCGGAGACCATGAAATCTAGAAACAGCCTCTTTGTTTCGCTTCTCAATTGATTTCCGCACTCTCTTCCTTGCGCTTTTCGAAGTAGATGCGGCGACGGTTGCCCTCGGCGTTCGGGCTCGTCACCAGCAAGTAGCGGCGTTGCAGCTAAAACAAGGGAATATCAAATTCTCTCGCTTTCGTTAACTTTGTATAATTCCCCGTTGCTATAGGACTTTAAAGTATACCAAAGTCTTTTTCTGTTGTTTTTATGACTACACAACTTTCCTAGCAAATTGCCGCAAAAACAGCCTGGTTGTTGCTTCCTGCCCGCACCTGGTTGTCCTCGATCTTGATCAGCGTGCCGCCATCCTCCAGCGTCAGAATCAGGCGCTGCTCACCGAGCACCGGCTTCATCTCGAAGCTGCAGGGTGGAATGTGTCTTGGAAATCCTAGAAGATGCCCAACATTTTCTGCCAGTCGTCGCTGCTGCGGTCCTTGACGCAGGGGAACCACGGCACGGCGGGGGGCGTCGGCTCGGCCATTGTTTTAGGCTGAAATCGGGTTGTTTCCAGTGCTTTGTTAAAGATTCTTACCAAACTTTTGTAAACTGTCGAAAAGCGGGGAGAAATATGAATTTGGGGGGATAATGTCAATTTTTAATTTTCTAGCGCCCCGGAAGATAATGCTGAATTCATTATTAGATTATTATAAATTCAATATTTTTTGAATGGTAATTTGACTTTTTTAGTTTTCTTCAGTGTTTCCCCGCCGCGCCTCTGCGCTCTTCTCCTTTCCAGCTCTCTCAATTTCACTTCGCAGCCGCGCGGGGAATTTGAAGGCCATTTTCATGTCCTTTTCGTAAAATTTTCCGCATTTGTTTTTCATTTATTCTAACGTATAAAAAACCTGGAGAATCATTTCAGATGCCAGCACGCGACATCAGCAACCAACTAGTGGTGTTCGGGCGCAGAAACTGCCGCGAGTTTTCCGATTTGTTGAAAACGCTCAACTTCAACGACCCGAGTTCCCAGGTATTTTCTTTTGGATTTTTTTGAATCGCTTTATTTGAGGACGTCACCTTCTGGTTCAAGAACAGCGGCGCCAAGCTGTACAACAACGACCGGCACTCGAATCAGATTGAAATCTACCTGATGCACGACTCATTCGAAAAGTAAATGCACACAATTCCGGTTTTAAAGCTCCACATTTAGATACGAGCTAAAAGCTGACGATATTGCGGTCTCGGTTCGGTTGCAGAGTGTGCTGGTAATTTTCAGTTATTTGATCATTTTCTGCGCTTAGGACTGCCTATTTGTACTTGACGGCGCCACCTCGTGCTTTGAAATTCACTACGAAGCGGTGGGCGCACCTCTGAAAATCTATACCGAAGACGACGGGGTGGTTCTGGAGGCGACGATACCAACGACAGAAGTGAACCTGGTAGCTTATTTGATTTATCACGTAATGCTAGTCGTCAGGATAACCTCGACTTCGAATTCACGAACGTGATTCTGGATATCTACATTCGAAAGGCCCTTTTTCAAGACACGATTCGGGCAAGTTTTTGTATAATATTTATTCGTTTTTCCAGGATTTGGTGCATGACGCGACAAAAATCACGATAAAGTTCAGCCCGGATCGTATCGTGTTTTGCGGGATCATCGGCGACATGGGCGAGTCTTACGTAGGCGCCCTATTTACCTCCAAATTTCAAGATTTTAGACGGAATTCCCGCGCGGATCCGACGAGCTGGAAAGTTATACCTGTGATGACCACGGAGCGTTTAGCTATACGCCGAAAATCCTGAAGCGCCTCATCCCCTCGCTTGCCATTACGACCGGGGTAGCTTCCGGTTTGTTTCGAAAACATTTTGTCTAGGCCCAGCTAAAAATTGACGAGCGCGGCAATCTGAGCGTGCGAAGTCAAGTGCACCTGGTCGACGCGCCAGAAAAACCCTTCGTAGATTTCAAGGTGGGATTGTTGCTCTGTTTTTAGCGTTAGCCGTAAACACTGACGTTCGCTAATTTTTTATGCCAAACCTTATTTTATCATTTTAGTGCGTGCCGATGACCGTCTACGACGACGATCCAGAGTAGAATTTTCGATGCGTTTTTTGCTCTATTTTGCCAGGTTGTGCAATAATATAAAGTGCGGGTATCCTGCGTTTTTTGGTAATGCTTCTACGATGGGGAACGGCGCGTATAACTTCTAAATGATTCCGTAAAGGTCCCATGTCGCGGCCCATTTAACAACGATTTATTCATGCTGTGCAAAGGCGCAATCACGGGTTGGCAAGTCGATCTTCTCGATCTGTGGTCGATGGGGGAATCTAGGGTCTAGACTAGTGGTGAGCCCGTTCAGAATTGGTGCAGCGAGCAGCGGCGTGCTGCCTCGAGCTCGGCGGCCAGCTCGGCTTCTAGCCGTGAGGTTGGGCCCGGAGAGTTGCGATGCGCTCCATGCTGGTAGAGCATATGGGCCAGGCTATAAAGGTATCTATTTAGCATTTGTCGAGCTGATGGAGGTCGGGGAAAAGCGTTTGGTTTGAGCCCGTTCCACCCACCTTCACTTTGCTGGGATTGGGCCCGCTTGGCCACTTCCGGGATTCCCATTTGATTTCCAGTCAACGAGCGCTCTGCTCTAAAATGGGGCTCATTTCTTGGATTAATAGTTAGGTTTTCCAGTTAATTTATTCATCCATTTGAGTTTGGAAACGAAATAACGGCATTTTGAGGTGCGACAATTTCAGCTAGTGTATCACTTCGGCCTTCTGGTCATACGAGCACAAAAATGATTAAAAGGTCCACCGTCTTGGGCCATTGAGCAGTACGAGTCGCCCGATAGATAGGTTGGCTTGAGCGATCTGGGCGAAAAGCGCCGAACATAAGACCACCATCACCAGTCGCTGCATTTTCGCGGGACGGCGCGGCCACGGGGATACCCTGAAGAAAAAGAGGGTGATTATTCGTATAGAAGGTATTGGAAAAGGCGAAAGCAAACTTTTATAGCAATTTTAGGCATTGTCAAGTCTCGGGCAAAATTCGGAAGAGTTAAAGCAGAGTTTTACGATTCGGTGGCCCGGTCCAAAACTCGAACTTCCCACCTGTTTTCCGCGCACCCGCCCTATTTACGCCGGTGGCAAATGCGAACTTTTGCGCCCAACAAATGGCCGGTTTCGCGCCGAGGAACAGCCCGAAGATCCTGGCGCCCAGCCCACAGCAAATCTGGGAGAAGCTTCGGGTTATTTTGTGGCCCGGCTCGACTGGGGTGATGTTGGTTTGCGCGAAATGGGCAGCCGGGGTATCGCTTGGTAACCTCTGCCCGAGTTTTTGGCACTTTAGCCTTGTGAATTATGGGGTGGGGGGAGGAATTTGGTTGTATTCGAGAATGTGTCGAATACGTCAATTTTTTGGGGGACTGTAATTCGATTTAGATGATGCCCTTTTTGGGAGGATATTGTTGAGCCCCGACGGAAATAGGCGGAAAATTGGGTTGTAACTCTAATTTGCGGAATCGAATCGTTTTCTAGTTGATCGCCGGCCATTCATCGTCTAGTTACGAGGCTCAAAGTCACACAAATGTACAGCCAGCCGGGACTAACGAACGCAACAGCCGAAATGAGACATTGCGCACTCGGTGGCCCCAACGTTTCTTAAGCCCCCTAGCTGCGCTTTCACCTGCCCGCCGGGCCCGAAATGCCAGCAGGTGCTTCGCGTGCCCGATCTTGTCCTAAATAGGCGGCCGCGTTGGCCCCCGGTACCGCCCCGTCGAAATCAGCCGGCTTTTTGCTTGGGGGCGGGTACTGTAGAGGTGTAGGCGATTCTGGTGGACCCTGGTCTTGTCGGGAAAGGGCAAGGAACGTTTATTTTCACTTTTGGCACTGACGCGTTCAGGAACATCTTTTAAACTTGATTAAATTTAAACGTTCAATAAAGGTTTCAATAAAATTTCCGTTATTCAGTTAAGCGGTTTCATTTGAAGGTTTTTAAATTTGGGTTTTTTTAGTTTCTTATTGAAACCGCCTTTATGCCTCGATTTGGTTGGAATAAGCCCTAGCTCGATAATTCTCTACGTTCAAGCTAAAGATACGTTTAAGCATCGGTGCTAGCTGCTCTACTTGCCCAACTTGACGTGCCCCCTCAAACAACAGTGAAGCCACGACGGCGCGCAACGTGCATTCCCGGCCATAATTAACGCCCGACCGGCGCCAAAATGGAAATGCACCCGCGGCTAAAAATTGCGCGTAGTAGTCGAGTAGGGCGCATTATGGCCGTCGTGCCTAAATACTTCCTCTCGCGACTCATCCAATTCTGAAATATTGCCTGGCTGATTATCCGGTCGAGCGTGGGGCTGGGTTGGGTGGTTTTTGGCGTTAAGGTCGTCGCTAAGTCAAAGGTCACAGCGAGGCGAGGCGTGGACATCAAAGGTTAGTGGCAAGCGCTAAAGCATCGTAGAAGGCGAGTCTTCAGCAAGAAGCCGGGTGAACAGCGGTGATTAACTGAAAGTATTAAAATAGGTCTGATGTTCCCGGTTGCGGCAAATAGCTCGGGTTTCTCACGTTCTACCGTAACAAACTAAAAGTGCCAGATTTTTGATGCCGGGTACCCAGTGACGGGGCAATCTGTATGGCGCGTATGCGTCGTTTGCTCTCGGACAGCCCTTTGTTGGGTGAGAAACACCTGGTCGGCGCTGACATTTCACTAGCAACACACGGTTGTAGCTGGTGTTGCATTCAGCTGTTACGGCACGCGGGGTACGGTAGCAAAATTACGCCTTTGTAACGCAGGTCGAGAATAGAGAATCTGTGCTAGCGATTACAATCAGATATCTAGGAGATTTATCCGGGAGATCGAAGCGAATTCAACGAGATTTGAAGGCACACAACCGATATCATCCAACTCGTAAATGGCAAGAGGCAAATGGAATGAAACTTGAGAACATTGAAAGGAGATATTCATCGAATTAATGGGCATCATGTCGGAAAATTAAGTCTAGCCGAATCGCGGCACAAAAACAAAGAAATAGGGGCTAACTTGTAAGGCAAAATGTGAGAAGCCACTTAAAAAGAAAACCCAGCATTTTGGGTGCTGTTCGAAGTGGCGTGCATCGTCTGCGAAAAGTCGTTGGGCTCGGTGATGAGCTGGCCGAGCTCGAATGTTCCACCTCGCGCTGGTAGGGGCGGATTAGCTGGAAAGAAGTAATTATCACCAACACCGCAACACGACACCCACCATAAACGAATGGGGCGTCGCCCAAAACGGGCCCGGGTTGACGACGTTGCATTCCTTGCTCGACTCACTGGAAAACGGGGGTGACGTGGGAGTGTCGAAAAAATGGCTTACTGGAAAGGTTGAAACTTGTCGGCAATAATGAGCGTGTCGGGAAGTGCTGGCATTCTAAAAATAAAAGTTTACGCCTATAGAAAATGGTACCGTAGCGCGTGGTCGAGATTCCATATCACGGGCGATACATGGATGGGCACCGGGCACAGATGAGCCTGGCTGAGGACCGTTTGGACGGCGGCCTTTGCCAGTTCCTAAAAATTAAAAATAACATAATATTTTCAGCATAAAAAAAATTATAATTTCTGGCGCATTTCTCACCGCTAAAAATATAAATCCACAAAAATCCGACTCAATTAGGCTCGTATACCCGAACCCAAGCTCCTGCAAAAATTTCGGGCAAGAAGCAAAAAAGTTTGCCACCTGCGGGGTTCGAACCCGCGCCCGGTTACCGGACCCGATCATAAGTCGGGCGCCTTAGACCACTCGGCCAAGGTGGCGATGATGGGTGAAAGCAAAATCCCCCTCTTATATGCATGAAATTCAGCATTTTCAGGAATGCTGAAAATGCTGAAAATGGGCCGGGGGAGGGGAGCCGACCCCGGGGAGTGTGATCCGCGCACCAATGGCTACCCCACTCTCCTTACTTCAGGGGGCAGGTTCGTATAAAAATTAGTGAGCTATACCTGTTCCGTTGCAGGGACGTTGACAGCATGTCGGCATAACTTCTCGATTACGTCCTCGCGGTATACGACAATCTCGGAGTTGGCCAGCTGGACGCGAGCCGGATTTCCGACGAATTGACATTTTGGCCACTAAAAATACGCTGATGGAATCAGTGAATTGATATATTGAAAACAGAACAATTTAAAATACAAACCCGCTGCAAATACTCATCGCATAGCTCGCTGGGCAACGAAAGTCGCGGGGTCACACATTGCGTCGGTGGGTCGTCGGGACCGGGCACGAAGATAAAGTGCGTCTCAGCGTGATCGGCCTCGAATTCCTCGAGCACCGAGGCTAAGTGCCTAAAATCGAGGAATAAAAATAGGTTAGCAAAATCATACCGGAATCCCCGGTGGAGCACCTCCATTGTTTGTGGCTGTCGGCATTGCGAGGAGAAATTACCGCACAAAATATACGCGATGGGCGGCTGGTATCGATAGCCGTCGAGGATCTTTCGAAACGCGGTCAGCACCTAATAATAGAATATAACGTGTTTTAAAGATCTACATACCTTCGGATTGTCAAGGTGAAAATCGCTGAGGGCTATGATGTATTCCTTCCCGTGGTATTGGGCCATCACGCGGAGCTTGTTACTGCTTCTACAACCAAAGAACTCTCCCTTACAACTAAGGATTGTACTACCTAAAGCACAGCTTCTCGTCCCCGGCAAACCAGTTGGCATTTCCGTAGGCCTTGCGTGTTTCTTCTGCCCGTTCCGCCGGGACCAGCCCCACGCTCGTTGCCGTGAACAGAAGCGACTGATAGGTGCCCTGGAATAAAAAAAACTATTATTTTGTCATTCAAGAATTCGTGGTTGGTACATGCGGACCCCACTCTTACTCGTCATTTTCTTAGCCGCTGAAAAAATTGCTGCAAAAAAATCGCCCGCACTCACTTAGCGATTACGAAGGGCAGGTGCAAAAATCGTCACTGGCTTTTTTTTTGAAAGAAACGTGGCCTTTTAGGCATCGCTACATTTTCTATTGCGTCAATTGAGCTTCGAAAGAACTATTTCCGAGAATAGTGAAATTAGAGGAAGTTATTAGTATGATTTTACCGAACGGGGCTTAGACATCTTATCTATATTACGCGAAAACCCAACCTCAAAAATCATCACACATCCCTCCGAAAATAGACCCTCGTGATACGCGCAATCAGGTGCAAACTCAACCTGAACCGTACCCGTCAAGTCCTCGAGGTGCCATGTGTCTGCCTAAACATGGCGTTTCAACACCAAGAATAATTCTAGTACCTTTTGTTGTGTCAACATGGCCAAAACGACGGTATGCTCGACCGGGTGGGAAATTGACAGCAGGTCTTCGATTTTCTGGAACTTGATCCCCGCAAAGGCAGTCAGTCGAGAAATCCTCTGAACGGAAAGTGAACAAAAAAAATGAAGTCGCTACTTGTTGTACGAAAAGGAAACGTTGCACATAGGCGTCGGTCATTCTTCGGACATCACCACTATCCTGACCCCTTCGTTCGGGCTTTTGCTGAAAGAGTTCCGTTTCTTTGCATCAATACAAGCATAACCCCCACAACACGATTCGAAAACACAAACCATAATTTTTGTGGCCGTTGAGTATTCGATGTCTATAAAATCCGGGACATCATACGCCTTGAAGAGAGCGGCAGCACTAAATTATCATGGAAGCTTGGCGAATTTCACGTTACCGATCGCTGCGCGTTGTGACGACTTGACTCATGATGTTCTCCATGTCAGCAAGGGATAGCAAATTTTCCTTCACTAAAAAGATTGGCCGTGCGTAAAATAAAACTATCATTACGGCTCTGTCTACGCGCAACGTCGAATATGCTTTCCAGCCATTTCCGTCTGGCCGGCGCGTCTACTCGAATCAACTTGGCTATCGTGTAATCTTGGGCATCCCTGAAACAAATTGTTAGATAAAAAATTTCCCAATTTCTTACTTCTTCATCATCATAGCATTTACCCGTAGCGCGTCATTCAACGATTTCCGAACGAGCCGTCGTTCGATCTCGTCGCCCATCTAATCAGTAATCGATTTGCTATCTTTTGCCGATTTCAGTGCAGACGGTATTGGCTCGGTGAAACATTATTTTCAAGTAGCGCCAGACTTTACGAAAGGTTTATCGTCAATAAATAACACAACAGAAACGGAAGAGATGATGGGTAGAATGAGATGGTGGAATTAGAGTGAATCCATGTAAAATCCAGAAAAATAAATTGCAAGGCAATAAGATAATGGGAGTGATTGACTTTTCTTTTTTTACATCGGCGGTCCCATCGGCGGCATCCTGGGTCCTCCAGGTCCGAGAGTCGGCGGCGGAGCGTACATCGGCTGCTGGAGTCCCTGGCGCAAGAGGTACGGGTTAAGCCCAACACCAGGCCGGTAGCCGCCCATTGGAGATGGCATATAGGGATTCGGCCTCATCACCTAAACGCAAATAAAAAGTTTTTAAAAAGTGGCAATCTACCGGTTGGCCCATGGCGGCGGGGCGTTGCGCTGCGAATGCCTTCGCGGTGGCGTCGACGAGTTTCTGCGCCTCTTGCTCCATCCATTTCTAAACAAGAGTTTGAATAGAGCGTCAATTCCCACCTGATAGAATTCGCGGACGTTTTCCTTGTGTTTGCGGCCCTGGTTGTGGGTCTTGCGCACCGACGGCGAATCGTGCGTCAGGAAAGTGTCACAGTAGTCGCAATAATACTTCGGCATATCTGTTGCCTGAAATGGGTACGTTGAATTGATACCATGGCAAGAAATATCCGAGTTTCAGAAAATCAAAACGGCATAAGCAAACTAAAATTAGTTTCGAAATACCTGACCCGAACTGAACGGGTGGCAGATACGCGACACACGGGATCGATCGATATATCTTTATCAACTACGCGTATTCGACATTCAAGCACCAAAGTGAAGCGACGTTTCGGCAAAGAGAACCCGTATTAATACAAGAGGAATGGCATTAGGGAAAAATGAGAAAGAAGGAAAGGGACAAAAACCAATATCATTGAGCATCTAAGGCGGCGCGCAACCAGGCGGGCTGCGGAATGTGCCATTTTTGGAGTAATTTTTGTAGGGCAAGGTTGTCGGCATGGAATATTCTAAAAACAGTTATGATATGAGCTGGAAGCCCAAAACAAACCCATTCAACTTCTGCCGAAGCACGTCCGACATCGGGGCATAATGGCGACCCTTGCTTTTCCCCAGGCACTTGGTTTTGCCCTGGGTCAGCTGGAAAAGAATAGTCTCGCGTCAAATTGGCAGAACTTACGGTACACCAATAGCCTTTGCTGGGGCTGAAGCGCAAGACGGTGCGGTAGTCAAAGGCAGGCATGGCAAGATCGAGGATTAGCTGAAAATTTGCGCATGACCATGCTTTCTGGCTCATCGAATGAAACCCGGCCAACCTTGTTCATAATCTCGGGCGGGCGCTCCTTGAAATTTTCGCCGTCTATGAATAGAAGCTGGGAGGCCGGGAAGAAATCGAGCCAACGATCAATGTGGTGTACATATCTGAAATAGTTTCAAAGGTGTAAGATGATTGCTGAATTTTTCTTTTCGACTTGCCTGCCTCCAGATACACAACGACTCCTCAATTTCTTCATCGGGCCCACTGTTGCATCTAGAACGACATCGAGATTCTGGGCCTCGACAGCCGTTGGGTCCCGATGGGCCAACATGTGCTAAAAGATCACTTGTAAGCACAATTTATATATTAAGACTTTTCTAAATTACGAGGCGAGAGAAAGTTTTCAAGTTACCTGGAACCACGAGTACGCCCGAAGTGCAGGATCATATAAAATAACAATAATTTTCGTATTTGGGATCAGCGCGGCCACCTGAATTTTTTAGACTTATTTATAGAAATCACAACAACCTGTCGAGGAGCCAACGCATTGTCAAAATAAGTAGCGCTCTTTTCGAAAACAAATTGTGAAGGTGAGAACTTGTCGATGTACCTAAATGCAAGGTCAGATGAATGATCTAACTGACCATTCCAGCCCATTTCCGTAGTGGTGGCCGCCGAAAAATTGGAGTTCTTCGAACGAGTCGCTGACGGGGACGTTCGAGGAGACATCAGGATGGAGCGACAGGAAGTTTCCGAGGGCACTTGAGCCTAAAAACGCAAAATATTGAAATTAAGATCACAAACCTGTCTTTTGCGGTCCGACAATCAGAATGTTCGGCAAGGTGATGTTGGAGCAGTTGAAGGCGGGTGGCAGGATGGTTTTGTGCCTTGGATCCACACACGGGTGCTAAAAGAATAAGCTGGTAATGGGATATGTTTTCAAAAACATTTTAAAAACTGCAATAGCTCACGCTCCAAACTGGCATCACTTCTTGCGGAAACATGGCGAAATATCGGTCGGCCGATGTGATCGGATCGGCCCAGCGGAGCTTCAGACGGGTATGGCACCTTAAAAGGGAAGGGTTTCCTCAGCTAAAGAAAAACTCACTTCAGAAACTTGACCAAATTCCGGAAGACCCACAAGGCCAGACGGTCATGTGCGAAATTTTGTTGATGCGTCATGAAGATGGATATCTGAATCAAGAGTCCATGTGTGACCACCTTTCACCTACCGGGTTCAACAGCACCGACGAGAAGAGTTCGCCACCGTACACGTTAGCAAAGAGCTTGGCCAGCCCATCCGGATAGGTGTGGAAGAATTGGGTGTGGGTGTAGAGACCGCATGTTTGGCGTGGGAGCACCTGAGAATTTCCTTCATAATGACCAGAAAAAGATGAATAACCTTTATGCCCTTGTGGATGAAGCCTCGGCGATCAGATGGTGGGCGTAGGTGGGGATACTCTTCTGTGGCCGTCACCGAAACATTCCAGATCTAAAATGCGTATTTGACGCCTGTAGTACTGACTAACCTTCTTCCACGCATCATATAGTGGAGCGTGGGCTGGGAAAACGCCGGCATGCTGCGGCGATATCGAGTATGGAAATGGCACCGGCAGCTTCATAGTCTGAGCAAAAAAATGAATCACTAAGCGCTGTCAAACCTCTGCAAACTGCTTGTTCTGGCTCATCACCGACTCCAGGTATGTGTAGTTGTAGTCATGAGCGTGATTGTGTCGCCACATGTGACAAAACCAATGAAATTTGGCACCATTTTCTGGAATAAAAGGAAGATAGTCGGTTTAGGTTCCGGAAGCCTACCTATAAGCTTTTCATCTCCGAGATCCTCGTCATCATTGCCGTTCCGGAAATAGCTGCCCGAATAGCCGAGCATAAAGGTGAAGTTGGAAATCTGAAATTGATTGGAAATGTTTTAACAAACTATAAAAAGACCACCTCGCTGCGCATCCAGTCCTGGAACTCGATAAGGGCGTCAACGTCCTCGGCCACAATTCGTGTGCCTTTCGCACCGACGAAGATATCGTCAATGTCCACCTGGATCCACCGTTCAAGCGGGAACCCAAAGCTAAAATGAAAGAGTTTTCGTGGAAACTTCCGACCGACCGTCCCTGCGTGGCGAAACGCAGCGAATCCAGAAATGCCATGCGCGTAACCCAAGACGTGATGTTATGGCCAAATAGTATACGCCGCACCCCATCGTCGTTGCCTGGATGGATGGATCACATTATAACAATCTAGGTTACCAAGATCCCTAATTACAGCAGCACCGCGCCGATGCCCTGCCTCACCTTCCAAGACCGTCTCATAACCGGCGGACTCCTAAAAAAAAGCAAGCAATTTCAAAACAAGTACCAGCTATACCTCGAAAAAGAACCCAATCCGCCTCTTCGGCGGGATTGTTGATCGGGACACTTGGCCTGGCGATATAAGGGATAGGCGATGAGGGTGAAAAGGTGAAGGATGTGGCCTAAATTGGTTATGCTGATACAAGGCTAAAAATTGAAAATCCTCGCAAGTTTTTGGCTCGTACCTGTTGGTTTTGCCATATGCTGAGACTCGATCCCTTGAGCTTCGCCCTCTTGAACGTGTCGTTCGGCCGACTCGTCAAAATTCCGACAATCGTCGCATTGTATTCCCGACAATACTTGTCCAATATCTGGCGGTTCCATCTGCGAACAAATACAAAAATATCTTGGTGGAGCATACCTTGGCATATTCAAATACTTGTGGTAGCTTTCAATGATGACCGTCGAAAAGCGTCCCCGTTCGAGAGTTGTTAATAAGGGCAAGTTCTTCGCGAAAACCTCCATTTTGTAGGGATACCTGAAAGTAGTTGCTCCATGCCAAAGTTTGGCTTACTTCGATGCATTTAGAATCTGCGTAATTATTTTGCTGTGGCGCGAATAGATGCTTTCGACCAAGACGAGGGCCTTCGACTCGGTGAAAATCTCGTCCGAAGCAAAAGCTGTCGGCTCGTAATTTTCATCATCCTTAGTCTCATTGCACGGGCAGATGAAATCGGGCAATCTGTAGTAGGGTGTAATCCGAGGATTATTGCCTACTGTTGCGGAGGAAATCGAGGTGCCCCTGGGTCCGACTGGTCTCCCAATCTGAAGACGAGTAACAAGGTGAAACATAGCCCGACGCCGATCAACAGACGGAAGGACCGGAAGATTCTGTGTGGCGCATAAGGCGCGAACTGAAATAAAAGAAGTGAGTTTAGTTTTCTTAAGCGCACAAGCTAGAATCGGGAAGCCAAGCAAAACTCACCGATAACGGCATCTAGCTCATAGTGTGGAAAAATCCTCGGCTGAAAGAGCTTGTCACTAAACAGCTGCCCAGATTGAACACGCACTCTTAGCCTTTAGATAATGGGATGGATAAGCAAAATCCATTTGTGCAAAAGAGCAACTAAAGCGTAAAGTATTTATAACCCGAACGTTTGGTATAACCGGTCATGCAAAAAAACAACAGAAAGACAAAACGGTAGAAAATGTGATAAAAGCATGGTAGACACTATGGGACTATATTAAGGGGAAAATATTATTACAAAAGTTCGTCCAATCGATTGCGAAGGATGGTCAGATAGGTGGCTTGTCCGGCCCTCTGGAGCACCTAAATTTTTTGATACTGCGCATCAAAGGCAACAAACCCGGGAAGCAAGCAGCTGTTCTTCGAGCAAGTCGAGCAATTCGTGACGGATGCAAGACAGCGTACGGCTCATCACTTCACCGTATGTAGCCTTCAACTGATCACCGCAGATCTAGACGGTACGGTAAACTAACAAACCAACAACCGAACCTCCAGTAATTCGTTCAACACCAACGGCGTGGCCAGGTCCACCGGCGGATCGTTGATGACGAACGCCAGGGTGCGCCAAACGTTCTAGAAAGAACAATTGCGTCATATAAAATTACGAAACAACCTTGAATTGAAACCGCTGCACATCCGCCCGCTGCTCGAGTGTGATACGATGAATGTAGAAAAATACGCGTAGTAATGCGCGCTGCGCGTCCATCAACAACTTTCGCGGGTCCGCCTCCATATTGCCGACTGTCTCGGCCATTCCGGTGCTAAACCGTCACGTAAAGCACACGTTATCTACATGTGCCTACCATTTTTCCCGGTCCATTCCCAGAAAAAGACAAGTGCAGAAGAGCCGCCCAAGGACAATCTTCGCAAAGGGGAGCTGCTTCATGGCCACCGAGACCAATATTCGGGCGACCACTTCACAGAGATGGACATTCTGTTCGGCCTGTCTCTAAAAAAATAAAACGTTATGAAATAGCCACTGCCAAATCACCAAGAATTTGTCGCAAGCAGTGTTGAGCATATAGAATACTTCAGCGGCCGAACTCAGTTTGAGGCTTTGCTCCTTGGCTCCCGCCAGCGAATGTCCTAAAAAGAAAAATGGCACAACAAATCGAAAGCCTACCGACGGCAAGATTTCCGAAGAAATTCGCCACATTCACAATCTCCTCGTCTGTCACCTGGCGTTTGATTGTGATGTTGATCTTTTCTTGGACGGAGCGCTTGATGTGGGAGCGTAAGGTTGCCTAAAATACGTGTGTGTAAACGCTAGTGCAGGGAAAACGGCAAGAATTTCAAGTTCAAGATCTATAAATCTCCAGTAAACTTCACCCACATCCAGTTGTGTCTCGATAGTCTTCATTCGGGCATCCAACTCGTTCTTATACTGAACCTCCTTCGCATAGTAGTCGAGGAGAGAAGGCTTTATCGGGCTGCGGCGTCCGTCCCGGTTTTCCGCAGGTGTAACTAAAAAAATTTCAGCAACTGAACTTTGAAATACCTGGGCTGTTCGTGGCGCTCCTCTCGAGCTCCGAACCTAGCGTAGTGGAGTCTGCAAAAGATCGATAATTCGTTGATGTTATAAAATTCACTCGAGTGGCAGGTTTTGGTTCGCCTCCATATTACAAAACGAAACAAACCTAGACACGGCGTCGTCGCGTTCTCTTTGTCCTCCTGGTTGTCAGCCCTTTTATCTAACTGTTCCTCGTTTTTGACATTCAGCGCCACATGGTTCTGTTTCTTGATTGAGTCGGCCAGCAGATTGTCGATGGAGCCAAATGAGAAGTCCAACCTCGCAGGCGACGCATTAACGACATTGGAAGCCCCGGAGCTGTTCAGCTTTCCCGGGGTGACGCTTCGGCTGCAGGAGTAGATGATTCCGTGCTCGTTTTTTATTTGGACGTTGGTCGTGCCGACCGGCGAGGAGGTGGGCAGCCTCACGTTGCAGCTAGTCAGCACGATCGGCTTGTCGCCGCCATTCGTGGCGCCCGTTTGAGGGCTGACCTTCGGTGCTTCCGGTCTTTCGATCAGCAATTTGACGGCCGGACCGGAAGAGCACGTGACGGCGGTGCTAGTCTCATGAACCTCTTTCTGAATTTAAGAAATAAATTGATGAACACATCTCGTGGCTTACTTTTTCAACTGGAGATGTCAAGATAACGGGGAAAGTGGGCTCATGGCGAGGAGCCTCGAAATTCGTGAATTGGTTTTCTTGATGTAACGGGACGTTCGCCGAGACTTGCGTCAAAGAATTCTGTAAGTAAATGTTTTAAGGAGAAAAATAGGGCATACCGTTTGCGAAGCCGAAGATTGTGAATTATTCAGCGTTTGCGTCAAGTTGAAATCCAGTCCAGGCAGCAGGCTCGCACGAATAGGTGTCGAAGTGAAGGGGCCAAACGGGTCTTGCACCGAAGACCTAAAAACACCACTTGCTTCAAAATCATGAAAAACCTGAAAGCTGGAGTAGACGGAAAGGTCCCATGAACAGCTGGGTGCTTTGCGACCGGGGAAGCCGTGGCGAATGTCTGAAAACAAAAAGTAGAGATATGCGCTGGAGCGGTACCGTGCTGGTGGATCGTCTATTTTCCTGACGCTCATTGCGAATGGGATGGACTTTCGCCTAGAGCACCGTTTTTCTGGTGGCCCAAAACAAGAACACCTTTTCTTGGAGAACCTCAGCCAAAGATTTCCGCTTGTAGGTAGGCCAATCGGCATCGGCTTTTGCCTAGGAAAACCTGACACAAATAATCTCAGACCAACCTTGACGGCCGACTGCTGCAGCTGCATCTTCTCAGCCTGTTTTTTGCCAGCTACCTTAGCACGTTGCAGTAATTCGGAGATCAGATCCTAGAAATTCGAATATTATTCGGGAGATATAATCGCACCAAGCCCTCTTGGCACGCACTCGAACTCGGCGGATGACTTTCGAACTGGTGCGGCCGGGAGTAAAATGTCGGGATGGGCGGTCCATTTGAGTTGGTGGCGTCGAAAAAGAACTTTTGAGGTCGACGAGCCCGTCCTCGTCAGACAGCCCGTACCTAAAATGCTGGGGTATATTTATATGCAACGCTTACTTCATCACAGAGAAATTCACACCCGTTGAAGAAATAAAGAGCGTCGTGCGGTTGATCAAGTCCCTGAAAGAGCAATAGAGAGCAGCACCGATACTCGAAAGAATTTCGCGGCGAGGGCTACACGGAGCAGCTAACGACAACAACCAGCAGCGCGAGACTCAAATGGTCCATTCCGACCGGGCCAAATCTGTCTTGTTTACCAACGTGCTCAAAGTAACGTCAAATTATAAAATTTCTTTGTTATTTCCCGTGCGAATTCGGTAGCGTTTATTCACATGGGTAATATAGATACACCCGTCAAGACCAAATCGTAGCACACTTTCTGGGTAAACAAATTAAGGGCAGACGACTGAAAACGGTGAGTAGGAAGAACGTAGAACAATCAACAGGAACGGAAAGACACAATGTTCATCAGAATGCAAAACCACAGAGATAGATTGATTAAGGGAAATTAGACGAGAGAGTCAATCGTTAATGAATAATGTATTAATTGTTTCGCGGCCACTTTTCGCTGGTCGCCTTCTCGACGTCGTCGAAGCAGACGGCTGTGCCGCCACCGGCCGTGGGGATCACGCGACCCTAGGGCAAAAATTAGAGAAAAATGGAAACAATTATTACCTTGACAATACTCGTGGCCATGTTTCCTTTTTTGTCGAGGCCCTCATGGGTCAGCATGTACTCCGAGCTCTTCCTGAGGTCACGGCTGCCCGGCGCGGCAGTGGACATCGCATTTGGAGGTAGCTTTGGGCGCAGAATGTTCGAAGTAGGAGTCCGGATGTTGGATTGATGCATGAGGACCCGGGGCACAGATTTCGACCTGCAAAAAATGTATGGGATAGGATTTGAAACTAATCCGAAAATCCATAAAAGCACAAATTTGCGCACCTTCGCTTGAAGCGCGGATCAAACGCGCTCACACCATTCCCAACGACGAAGTCGTTTTCCTGGCGGCCGGACGCCGGTTTCCGCCGCTGGTGGACGGTCCCGGCTGGGATTTCGACCCTCCAGCTCCTTCCAAGAACTGGGTCTTCAGCTGGGCGACTGTTGGCGATGCACTCTCGATGACTTCATTCACCTGTAAAAATGTAGGGCCCAGAAAACGGAGCTCACCTTTTTCAGAGCCCGTTGCGTATCCTTGTACTGTTGGCGCTGCAGCTTGTCCTCTTGGCGGCGCTGGGCCTCTCGGTCGACGGCCATTGCGTCTTCTTCTTCGTAGTGGCGCAATCTGGTGCGCAGCGAGACCACTTCACGCTGAATTGAAAAAATATAGCCCCCCCAAACACCCGCCCCCCCCCCCCCTCCCCCCCCCCGCCCCCCCCCAACAACAAACCGGCCCACAACCCCCCCCCAAAAACCCCCCCCCCCCCCCCCCCCACAACCCTTCCCCCGAAAAAACAAACCCCCCCAACCCCCCCCCCCCCCCCCCCCCCCCCCCCCCCCCCCCCCCCCCCCATTCGCCCCCCAAGAACCCCCACCCCAAAAAAAACCACCCCCCCCCCCCCCCCCCCCAACCCCCCTCCCTCCCAATTAAAATACTATTTTCTTGAATTTTAAATTGAATCCCTTTTTTTTTTTTTTTTTTTTATTTTTCCTTCGCCCCCCTCTCTTTTTTTTAAAACTCCCCCCCCCCCCCCGGGTAATTTCCTGGCGTTGGCTGGTAAAATAACCCCTTAAAACAAAGCTTATTTAATTTTTTTATAATATACAAAAAAAATTTTTTAAGGTAAAGAAGGGCCTTCCGGATCATTTTTATTTATTGTTTGGGATTTCCTAATCAAAAACCTATGAGAAATAAACTTTGTTTTTTTTTTGTTGGGTTTGGTGGGGGTTGGCCCAGGTTTGGGGGTGGGGGGACCCACCCCGCTCAAATTTCGTGAAGATGTTGCTCACGTTCGCTTGGCGTAGCTGGGAAGAAATTCGAGCAAGGGCGGCCTCGTCTTCCTCCTTTTGATTCTTCATTTCGGCGAGCTCGTGGTTGCGGTAGTCGAGAAGACACAGAGCACTCCGCAGTTTGGCTTCAAACGTGAGATCTGAAAAGAGTACTGCAATTGGACCAAAAATGCATACCCGACTGCTTGAGGCCCTGGAGAAGTGTCGTGTGAGCAGTGTGTCGCTGACCAACCCAGACGCGCATTCGCTTGATGTATTGCGCATCGTCATCGCCCTCGGGCTCAGGCGGCTGTTGAGCCATGTCCGCGATGGAGGAGCCTTGGGAAGACGTGTCGATCCGATCAGCCTGAAGAAAAAATTGTTTTCCAATTTTCCCGTCAAACCTCTTGGTTCCAGCGCACGAAGAAGCGCTTCGGCACCGGCGGGCGGTCCGCGCCACTGTCAAACAGTCTGTCTTCGTCGGCCCGCACTTTGATGGCGCGACTTTCCTCGCCAAATTCGAGTACGTTCAGGTTTTCCTAAATTGAAATAAATAAAAAGCGAAGTGGCAAATATCTACCTGATAGTCGGCAGGCTTGGGGTTGATGCAGAGAATCATTCGCACTTTCCCAGCTCCCTCGAAAAACTGCTTGAAAAGCAAGGTAATTTTCGAGTCGCGGTACGGCACGATTTGGGTCTGGTCGGGGCCTCGACGACGTTGGTTATGGCGCAGCTTCTCAAAGCAGAGCCGGAGGGTCAGCAGCGAGTTGTTGATGGCACTGGCCTCGGCCAATTTCGCACCCGTGTTCCCGGTTCGCTTGGCTCGTTCGCTGCCCGCAAGATCGACGAGCGAAAGTTGGCTAATCACCACCTTCTTAACATCTTGGGTCGGGTAGTAGGACTCGTTAGACCTAAAAAGGGAACAAATTGGGCTGGCAACCAAGAAAATCACTCGAAAGGCGCCTGCACGAGACGGATGGTGAACACGGAGTGAGAGCGGGACGATGATTTGTTCAGCAACGTGTCGGAGACGCGGCGACGTTGCTCACCTAAATCAATTGAATGAAGTTTCGAAGATAAAATAGCTTGAAAGATTTCGCCAGCTCAGGAGAAAAGCTACCTCGCGCTAGCCATTCGATTGCCTCGTCGGCGCTCTCCACCTCGACTTCCGTAGCCCCTTCTACATAAACCGCATTCCGTATGTCCGTGCGCGTGTCGCGCGAAATCGGCTTCCTAAAAAAAGTAAAATTTAGCTAGCACGCGAAAACTCACTCTCTGGTATCGTCGAGGAGATCGTAGATGTAATTGTTGTAGACTTCGACAAACGTAATGAACACCGAGCCGACGTAGTGGTCCGAGAACCCGGATACCTAAACAAGAAATTGGGAGAAAAGCCTTTTCAGCGCACCTGTCGGGGTTCAACCTGACGCTCGGTGACGATATGCGTGCTGTAGTCGGGGTCGTTTCGATCATTGGCTCGCCGAGCTTGCGCCGCTTCCTCGGGCGTGCTGACGTAGAAGCCGTTGCGGTTGTCCGGTTGGAAGGTGTATTTGTCGGCCCTAAAAACAGATTGGGAGGCGAGCAATGAACCTCACTTATTCTTGATGCTGTTGAAGAGAACGTCGACGGTTCTTGGCAGGATGCCGGCTGCCATGGGTCCGCCCGCCATCGTGTACGTTTTGCCGCCGCCGGTGACGCCATAGGTGAAGAGCAGCGAGCTCTTGCCTTGCAGCATATTACGCACGAGGTCGAGCGCCGAACGATCGAAGACACAGCGCTGGTCATCGGTGTCGTCGAACACTTGCGAGAACTTGAAGGTGCGCCCGGTCTAGAAAAACTTTTATACGTTAAAAGTGTGGAGGTACCTGGCTGCTATCCGCCGCGGCTACTCGAATCGTCGTCTCATCTTGCCATTGCACACACGGCTCGCGCCCGTGATAGGGTGAGAGCCTGCATAGTACTTCCAGCGAATCTTCGGCTGGGCGCCGCTTACCCATCCTGAAAGAGAAAAATAAATCGAGATAGCAGGTATAAAAAGTAAAAAAAAACAGAAAACCAGTAGAGGATAAGATAACGACGATAATTCAGTAAGAGTTCATAAAAAAAACCAGTAAAGGAAAGCAAATTACCTTTTCGGCCCGATAGGAAGCTACTTTTTTTAGGAAAAACGCTATTTTCTACAGAACTTTCTACAACTAGTCTACTAATCTACTCGTTCCCGTTTCCTTGTCATTCCGCCTAGTTATTTCAAGGAGTCCCGGCAGTGAATAACCGGGGATTACCCATTAAAGGGAAATGGGCCCATTAAAATCAAGGCATCCGGTGTATGAGACACAGAGATAACGGCTGCTGCCAAATTATCCGTTTACGATCCCATCCCTTCCGGAAAGAATAATTGGCACTACCAGTTGACCCTACTAAGAAAATATTGATTTAGCGATCAGATTACTATATCATGAACTTCGCTGCTATTGTGTTGTCCTTTGTGCTTGGACTTGGGGTGGTTTTGCTACTCATCAGCGAGGATGCTACGTAAGTTGCAAATGTGATCTTGTTTAGTGAAAGTTAGACGGGCCGGTTTTTCGCCCTCAGGATCCGTGAGTCCAGGGGCGCGCCTTAGCAGTGACAGCCGTTTATGCCGCGTAATGCAACTGATTACTCGATGTTTTGTTGAAAGAAAAACTATTTTAAGTGTAACAAACTATATTGCTTTGATCGCAAGTTTATTTTACCCATAATATTATTATACTAACGTTCACGAGGGCGCATTGCATATAATTTTGCAGGTCGACGCTTTACAACGGGCCGCTCAATCATTACTTTCTTGCATGTAGAAAACAAAATACTTGGAAAGCATCGTGCAGGCACCTCTGAAGAAAGTATTTTATATATGTAAAAATATGCTCTGAGCAATTCGGAACCACGACAGTGCAGTTATCCTGCTCGCTTTCCACAATGTCAGCCGATGCCCAATACCCGCTAGAGTAAGGTACAACGCTAATAACCGTGTGAACCGGAAATTTACTTTCGAAAGAAAGAACGGCAGCCTACGTTTTGGACTTGCATTCTGGCAGTCTAACCCATTGTTTGAAAACTTCCTCGTTCCCCAGAAAAACCTTAGCGTTTCATAATTGCGTTTTCGACAAATGTGAGCATAGTAACCCCTACTTTTTATCGTGCATCGCTTGGAAGTGCGGCCTGAGAGCTTCTTGCTGAATACCATCAAGTCACAAGTCGCATATCTGGTTTTAGAATGCCTTTGTCAATCCTGATCCATCCTCGTCATATTCAAGCTTTTCAGCGTCGCGCTTATTGTTGGAGCATTCGTAGTAGCCGTGCGATCGAGCCAAGAAGCTAGGTGACTCGACGACATACTTGATATTGTCTTCCTGTAGATTCCTGCACGATGCTTTCCAAGTATTTTGTTTTCTACATGCAAGAAAGTAAGGATAGAGCGGCCCGTTGCAAAGCGTCGACCTGCAAAATTATATGCAATGCGCCCTCGTGAACGTTAGTATAATAATATTATGGGTAAAATAAACTTGCGATCAAAGCAATATAGTTTGTTACACTTAAAATAGTTTTTCTTTCAACAAAACATCGAGTAATCAGTTGCATTACGCGGCATAAACGGCTGTCACTGCTAAGGCGCGCCCCTGGACTCACGGATCCTGAGGGCGAAAAACCGGCCCGTGAAAGTTAGTTGTTTTTATATCGTTAGTCGATTTTTATGCCCGCTTTGTCGTGCGCGCTTAAAACTATCTAAAACCCGAAATTTCCTGCTAGTAATGGTCTAGAAAATATTAAGACTCAGGAAAAGTCCATTCTATGTGCTCCTGAATGGGCGAGAGGTTTGATTTGCGCCTTAATCTGGCTCCCAAACTAATTGTTTCAATCGCATTCGATTTAGAAAGGACCAAAAATGATAATCCGCGAAGACAGGTCCAAAAAAATGCTTTTACTAACCAAAAACAACTTTTATATAAATTCTAAGCCTACAATTGCACGGAAATCTCCCGAATGAAAAATTTGAACGTGTCAGAACAAAAATGCCTACATCGACATCTTACAGGGTTTTTTTTTTTGAAAAATTCAGAGGAGTGATTTTGCAATAGAGACGCTCGGAGGGCTTGAGATATGGAAATTCGAAAGGATTGTGCCTCGCACCATCCGGAACGGTGCCGTTATGCAAATGGCCCGGCGTCGTCTTGCGTTTTTGAATTTCCCGCGGTTCTGTTGCCTCGGGGGGAGGGGCGTCATAGTACACTTTCGGTAGGGCAAAGCGTTTGAACAGAGTGAAGTAACGGAAAGAATGGACCGGATAAATTGCATTAAAAATTGTGTGGACTTGAAATAGGTTCGCCGGTCCTTTTCAAAAAAACATTGGACCTTTTAAAAACTACCAAAACATCTTTCTGGTGGTTGTAGGTACTTCATCTAGCCTAAAATAGCGAATCACTGGGAAAAATTTGGCCCCCCACCGGTAACAATTCAGAACCAAATTCTCAGTGTGTCACTCGACGAGGACGGCATGACCACGACGGCCGGCAGAATTATGAAAGCTGTCGGCATAATTTTAATGGTTATAGGGACCATCGGGTTTGCAATAACAATCGTGGATGTGGTGAGTTGTACCTAATTATAAACAGATACTGGTATCTCAGGTTCGCCGAGCCCATCGGCGCTTGTCCCAGGGCGAGAAGGGGAAGCTCGAGGAGCAAATTCACCGGAAAGCCACGCGATCAGCCACGCAGACACAGGTTTTCAGCGAAATCATGCAAAATTTGGCCTTTTTAGCCTCGAACGACATCGATAGCTGTCATCGAAACGAACGGGCATATTGTATAAAGATTGTACTGATTGTAAATAGAATAAATAAAGTCTTTTAACGAGTTTATTGCCCTTCTTTTGCGGTCTTTGTTCCTCCTTAGGATCTAATTTTACAAATATAAATAGTGGCAGTGTTTCCAAATGGTAGTCACTATTCCTAGACGTGAAAACTTTTCAAATTTTAATTAAAAAAATCAGAAATATGGATTTTTCGAGGGAGAATGGCCGATTTTGATCAAAATTTCGAATTTATAAAACATTTTGTAAAGTTTTTAGATATTTTCGCTAGCGTGAATGTAGTTCTATGTTTCTAAAATACTATTAAAACACTTTCTATCAAGATGCTAGGCGTTTGTAGACTTTTACAAATAAGTTAGCCCCCCGATAATGGTAAAGAACCAAATAATTAGTATCACGCGACTAGGCACTTCTGGACCAATAGACCCCCCCCCGATAATGCAAAAGTACCATTTTTCGCTTATTATTCACGTGCATGATGACGCAAAGACGGATAACTTTCAAACGGCGATGCCAGACCCTTGGATGCCGACAGCGCGTCATTTTGGTCAAGTTTTATTTGCTCATTTGAGTGGTGGGAGGCGTATCCTTATCGCGAATATGGATGCCCGGGACATTGATTGCTGACACATTCGTTGACCCTAGCCTATTCAAGCTACAATCTAAATATCTGGGGGAATTTTCTGCGGATGTCGCTCACGCCGCTGAGGAGACCCGGATCTTTAGGGCTGAAAGATGGGAGCGCGCCCACACTATCGCCCACCTCCATTGCTTCATTGTCTAGGTGAAGATTTTTTGGTTCTATGCTGTTATCGGGGGGACCAATTTTCACCCGGTAATCCCGTACGACCCTATTTTTTTTTTTTTTTTTTTTTTTTTTTTTTTTTTTTTTTTTTATTTTAAATTAAAATATAATTTTTTTTAATTTATTTTATTTTTTTAAAATAAAAAAAAAATTTTTAAAAAATTTAAAAAATTTTTTTTTTTAATTTTTTATTAATAATTAAAAATTTTTATTTTTTAAAATTATAAAATTTAAAATTTTTTTTTTTTTTTTTTTAAAATTTTTTTTTTTTTTTTTTTTTTTTTTTTTTTTTTTTTTTTTTTTTTTTTTTTTTTTTTTATTTTTTTTTTTTTTATTTTTTTTTTTTTATTTAATTATTTTTTTTATTATTTTTTTTTTTTTTTTTTAGGGATTTTTTTTTTTTTTTTTTTTTTATTTTTTTATATTTATTTTTTTTTTTTTGTTTGGTTGGGTTTTTTTTTTTTGGGTTTTTTTTTTTTTTTTGGGGGTTTTTTTTTTTTTTTTTTGTTTTTGTTTTTTTTTTTTTTTTTTTTTTTTTTTTTTTTTGGAATTATTTTTTTTTTTTTTTTTTGGGTTTTTTTTTTTTTTTGTGATTTTTTTGGGGGGGTTTTTTTTTTTTTTTTGTAAGGAAATTTTTTTTTTTTTTTTTTTTTTTTTTTTGTGTATTTTTTTTGTGATATTTTTTTAATTTTTTTTTTTTTTTTTTTTTTTTTTTTTTTTTGGGGAATTTTTTTTTTTTTTTTTTTTTTTTTTTTTTTTTTGTTTTTTTTTTTGTATTAATGGGTTTTTTTTTTTTTTTGTTTTTGGATTTTTTTTTTTTTTTTTTTTTTTTTTTTTGTGTGATTTTTTTTTTTATTTGTTTTTTTTTTTTTTGTTTTTTTTATTTGTTTTTTTTTTTTTTGTTTTTTTTTTTTTTTGGATTTTTTTTTTTTTTGTTTTTTTTTTTTTTTTGTGTTTTGTTTTTTTTTTAATGTGAATTTTTTTTTTTTTTTTTTTTTTTTTTTTTTTTTTTTGGTGTTTTTTTTTGAGGTTTTTGGGTTTTTTTTTTTTTTTTTTTTTTTTTTTTTTTTTTTGGGGGGTTTTTGGGATGTTGGGGGGTTTTTTTTTTTTTTTTTTTGGGGGGGGGGGGGGGTGTTTTGGGAGGTTTTTTTTTTTTTTTGAAGTTGGATATTGGGGGGGGGGGGGGTTTTGGTTTTTTGGTTGGGGGGGGGGGGGGGGGGGTAGTTAGGTTTTTTTTTGGGTTAGAAAGGTTTAAAGGTGTAACGAAATAGAAAGCATTTTTATAGCACTTTATGCAGCTTTTACAAGTTTCTTGCAACCAAAAACGATAAAAATACGTTAGAAATCTACGAAAATGAACGAAAAAGGTAAAGGGACCAAATTTTGAAGAGCGTATCAAAAATTTATAAGTTGCTCGCAATCAAAAACCACCAAAAACACTATAAAATCATGAATTTTTTCAAAAATTTGAATTTTGGCGTAGATTTTAATCTTTTAAAAAATGTTCTAAAATTATTTTTTGATGTGTCAGCCAAAAACTTAAAAATATTATAAAAAGAGTCGATAAAACGATAAAAAACAGCTAAAAGGTCGGAATTTTAGCCGCATCTCTTCAATAACCGGCCGTGAATGCGAGCGCTGTGGTGGGGCTTTTGCGAGTGGAGAGCCCCATTTTCGGGTCGACCACACGCTGTGGCACCAGGAGTGCTTCAAGTAAGGTTTAAAAAAATAGCCGATTAGCCTCCCAGATGTGCGCAGTGTTTCCGCGACCTCGACGGCGAGGTCTACTTCCGGTTCGACGATCGCATCTATTGCCTACACGATTTTGAGCGGCTTTATGCTCCGATCTGCCAACGTTGTAGTGAGTTTATTGGGTTGGGTTTCGGTTCTTGTGCATCATCGGGGGGGGGGGGCGTATGTCCAGAAATTCCTAGTAACGTAACACTACGGATTTTAATAGTGCTTGTAGTAAATTAAACATATTTCAGACGAAAAAGTCATCTAAAAACTTTTGCAATTTGTGAAATTTTGCCGAAAGCTCTTGTTTTTGCTTTTTTAATCACTGTTTTTGGAATTTGTAGAAAAAATTGCAAATTTTCGCGTCTAGGAACAGTGTTCGCAGTGAGTTTAGTACACCTTAGCGATCGTTCAAGTTCAAGACTAGCTAAAAACTTTAAAGAAATTTGGGTTTTAGTCGAAAAAAGCAATTTTTTTTGGATTTTTAGTAGAATTTTGTAGGGTTTATAGGTTGAAGAAGAGTAAAAACTATTTAGAAATGCGTCCTCTATTTCTACAAAAGTTGTCCCCCCGATAATGCACAATATCCTAAATTTCTCCCTTCAGAAAGCCCCGTCCTAAACGGCCACGTCATCAAGGCGGCCACGGGGTCCTACCACGCCGAATGTTTCAGCTGCGACGGGTGCTTGCGGGATCTTGATGAAGGCGTCTGGGTCTCGGATGGATTGTCAGTTTTCTAGACCGTACTCTAACGTCTTTTTAGGATCTTATGCTTTGACTGTAAGGAAGCGAAACGTCAGAATCCAGAGTACATTTGTGTGCAGTGTACGAGCCGAATTAATGCTTGAAATTCCCTCTAGGTAAACACATCATCGAGCCGGACGAGCTGTTGAAGCTGCACCACGACTGCTACCACGCCTACCATTTTGAGTGCACCACATGCGAGTGGGTTTCGTTTTCCGCGCCATTTTCCGCGCGTAACCCGTTGCTTTTACGGTCTTCGTCCCTTTACAAAGGTAATTTTTCGTTTTTTTAGGCAGACACTGACGTCGACTGGCCGGCGATTGAATGAAAAGTGGTACTGTGAGCGGTGCTATGATTTACAATGCCCGGTACGCACGCTCTATGGTGATTACGGTACTTTTCGGCCTCAAAAGTCGCCATTTTCGACAATTATTATAATTTTATTGCGTTTTTGATCCAAAAAGCGTGTAAAATGCTATAAAACGGATTATATGTCGCTAAAGGGAAGCCCGGGATTACTGAGGTTAAAAATTGGTTTCCGTCCCGTTTCTCACCTCTCCCCGCTAACAGTCCAGTACCAATATTTGGGCCCAGTGTTCAATAGGCTATACGAAATTTAGGGCTTCTAAAATAAAGCGAAAAGGCTTGTAAATCAATTTAGACTTTTAAAATATCGCGAATATGCGTAAAATATTTTTTAGAGCTGCTACGAGTGCAAACGGGCCATAGACCCCGATCAAGAGCGTTCGGTGGCTGCCATGGGGCACCATTATCATGTTGAGGTAAAGATTTCTAGAGAAACGTTAGTGGGTTCAGTTTTTTAACGGATATAAAAACTTTTTTTCAGCATTTCCGATGTGCGCGCTGCCTCGTACCCTTTCACGGAAAGCCATTTTTCGTCAACCGCGAGCTGCCCTATTGCCAAAAGGACTACATCGAGGTGGGGCACAAAATAATCTACTATACCTAATAATATTCTACTCACTGACAACCAATAAAATTACTTCAGAATTTCGGGGAGAGATGCTTTGTGTGCTCCCGCGGACTCACCGGGGAATCAGTGCGAATTTTTAACAAGGTAAAGTCTAGTGCCAAATATTGTTACAATTGGATCTTTCGCGTTAGCGGGGGGGGCTTTTTCTAGAAGTCCAGAAATGCATAGTAACGTAATAGCTAGTGCTTTAATAGTGTTTTAGTACAATTCAACTCTATTTTAAAAAGCAAACTACATTTTAGGTGAAACAACAAATAAAAAATGAGAAAAATTTTTTAGGCGAAATTTTTGTCGAAAATCTATATTTTTTGTTTTTTTTAATAAAAAATTATAAACTTTTTACGTTGTGGAATAGAAAAAAGTAGTTTAGAAACATTATCAGAAAAATCGAATCCTTGGAAAAAGTAGGTCCCCCCGATAATGCAAGAACCAGACATAGAAAAATTTCTTTAGGGTTGGTGTAAGGAGTGCTATGCATGCCACTGCTGCCATCGACGCTTGAAGCCAAAGTAAGCGTATTCTCTATCGTAGCGTAACGGAAGGAACGTAGCGGAACAACTAGTACAGATCGTTCAGGAAAAGGACACTTTTTAGAGACAAGGTGCTCGAGGAGAACATGCAGCCGGTGTGCAAAAAGTGTATGGAGAAGAAGATGTTCCAAACGATGCTCAAGGAGAGGCAAAAGCGAATTGCCGTGGAGGAGAAGCGCAAAACTTGAATTATCATCTTGCTTTGAATAAAAGGAAACAATGGATTGAATGCGAAACAAACCCGAGAAAGCCGGTGTAAAAGCGATTTCTCCCGTACTCGTATGGTAACCCTGGGCACGCTGGCGGAGTGTGAACGGCTTCTGGGTAGGTTTTTTAGCTGTTTTTGCCGACGGGTACTTGTGAATTAGTGGGGGGGGGATTTATAAGTACGCCCAGAACAGTAACATCATAGTAATTTTTTTAATTATCTTATTAAAATTTAGCGACATCTAAAAGACAAATACTAGCCTAAATACCTAGAAAATTTTCAAAAGTAGGAAATTTTTGCTCATAAATTGATTTTTTTTTGGTTTTGTAACGTAACTTGCGATTTTTAGGCTTAAGAGTAGTAAAAAATTATATCTTAAGGAAAGCTCCCCCGATATTGCCAAAGCACCTGCCAAGCCATTCAGGTGGTGGCACGAGCGCGAAGGAAGCGAAAAGTCCAGCGAAAAGCCCCAAGTCGCACAGCTCGAAGGAGGGCTCAAAGTGTTCAAAAAGGTGGCGGAAACGGGGATAATTTGAAATGGAAATTCCAGGGAGCGTTCGAACAAAACGCCGACAAAAACCCCGTCGAAGACCCCGAATCGTACCCCAAACGACGCACCCAGCAAAACCCCGGAAAAGTCGTCGAAGAAGGAGTCGTCGAAGAGGGAATCTTCGAAGAAGGAGAACTCCAAGAAGGAATCCTCGAAAAAGTAGGGTTTTGAAGCTCTCTCTCTCTCTCTCTCTCTCTCTCTCTCTCTCTCTCTCTCTTTATCTCTAAAATTCAGGGAATCTTCCGACAAATCGAAAAAGGCCATCGAAAAGACGCAAGGCTCGTTGGACTCGCAGAAGAAGAAGAACTCATCCGACGAGAACATGAACAAGTCGAAAAAGTTAGTGTTACGGCCTTGGCAAATTTTTTCGCACCTGCCCCGCTAACAGTCCAGTACCGTTTTTGATTTAGCATTCCGTTGTTCAGTTCCAGAGCCGTCGACCTCGACAAGGGGCTGAGCCCGCCGAAAAGAATGGAGACGCCTTCGACCTCGAGAAGATCAAGGCGGCCGCCGCAGCAGCAAAGCCCCGATCCCTGGTATCATTTACTCCGTAGGATTCAACCTGTCCCTGTTCCAGATGCAACAAATCGCCGTCGGCGACGAGTTCGACAAGACGCAGTGGGAGAACACGGAGTGGAAGGAGGATCACCGGAAATGGGTGGCAGGGGAGAAGAGCAAGAGCAAGAGTAGCGCTTTTTTGGCTAGGCCATAATTTTTGCACAGGCTTGCCCCTCGAAGCGCCTCCAGAGGCGGCGGCGGCCGGCGACGTCCCCGGCGAGGTCTTCCAGCAGCAGCGCGACCGCGGCGCGTACCTCAAGGATACGCCCTGGATCTCGTTCGCCTTCTTCTTCGTTGAAGCGGTGGGTGATGGCTTTCGGCCTATTGAGGCTGACCCTTCATTCAGAGTCTAATCGCCGGCTGGGTGTCGGTGGCGTCGGCGCTGGACTGTGCCCCCGACCATTCTGTCGCCCTGTCCGCCTTCAACGCCATCGTCATGTTCATCTCCATCATGCTGCTCTTCGGCTTGATGGTATGCGGAGAATTTGGGGCAACACGAGACTGTTTTTTAGTATTCGGAAACGTAAAAAATACACAAAGCAGCACTTGCTCATCTCCAGGTGACGCGCACGCACGTGGAGGAGCGACAGACGGACGGCCGATCGCTGTATTTGATTCCCTACGCGTGGAAGCTTTTGGTAGCGTACATCGCGATATAGCTAACTTTTCGTTACAGTTCTTCGCGCTGCAGTGGTTGCGCGTGTGCCTGGCGGTGGCGCTGATCGTGCAGCACGCGCTCGTCTGGTCCAACCCGACGCGGCTGACCGTTGTCATTGTGCTCGCCTCGGTGCAGGTGAGCATGGAAATTTTGCCGTTTATGATTATCTAATCGTGATAGCCAAAATACCGACAGCCGATACTAGTGGGGGGGTGTACTGTAGCGATATCGGGGGGATACTGTCGAGCTTGCCTGTCGGTATTTTAGCTGTCCTCTTCGGCGCTTTCCCGTCCTAAACCCTTGTTTCAGTTCCTCCTGACCGTCCTCCAGACGCTCTACTCGTTCAACAAGCGCTTCACGCTGGCCGACTGCCGGGACTAACCGGGCCCCCGATCAGCCTCCAGAAAAAGTGATAATTGACTCTACTCGTGCTGTTTAAAAACCGTGCATTCGGAAGCAAGGAATAATTCGCCCACAGAATAAATGATTTGACCCTGCTGGTAGAATTACGGCGACACTTGAGCCTACAGACTGACACGAAAAATGCGTCATCGATGGGTTACAACGCAATTTGCATAAAATTGTGGTTTATCAGGATAGTTTTCAAAAAATTTGCATAAAATTATCGTTGTTCCGGCAAGTTTTCATTAAATTTGCATAAAAGTATTGCCTGTTGCTCGTGTTCGCGAAATTTGCATACATCATAGTAATTCTGGCTCGTTTTCACCAAGTTTTCGTAAAATTTGCATAAAATTCTTGAATTTGCTGCTTTTTATCAAATTTGCATAAAATTCTAATTTTTGCGTCCAATTTCATCGAATCCTCGAGGTCGTCCTGAAGTCATTTACGTGCTTTTCCATCCTCCAATCGGTGAGATGCTGCTCAGCCGGCTCGTACAGGTGCGCCGAATGCAAATTAGCGGATACACATGCATACAGCTCTTGGTGTCGGTGATGCACGTGATCACCATCATCTGCAATGCGCTGGCGGTGGTGTGCGTGGTGTTCTTCTGGGTCCACGATGGCAAATACAGGTGTGTCGCGTAGTCAGGCTCAAACTAAGGTCGCCTAGCCTACTATATCTCGCCTCGGCGTTGTGCTACAGGGCTATAAAATATACCAAAATACTCGCCAGACCAAGACGAGTGTTTTGGTATACTTTACAGCCCTGTAGGTCATCGGGGAGCGAAGATACGGCAGAATTCAGCATTTTCAAACTGCCCATGAACCCCCTTCGCCGGTCTTTAACTTTTGTATCTCGGCTTCCTGCGCATCTACAGGCATGTGAAGTATACCAAAATGTTCGTCTTGGTCTGACAAGTATTCTGGTATACTTTTCAACTTAGTAGATCAACGAACAGCCGAGCGAGATACGGCCTATTTACCAATGCCAAATTCCAGACTGGACTGCCCCTGCTACCTGGCCATCATGCCGCCGCTCGACTTTGGCCCCAACTACCCCAGCTGGAGCTACACGATTCCCGAGCAGGAGCTCGTCGAATATGTGGGTACTTTTTAGGTGGACCGGAGCTATCTCCAATTCCAGGGCGAAAAATGCCTGCAGCAGACGCCGGCCGAGCATAGCGAGGTGCTCGACTACTTCCAGAGCTCCGTGCTCAGCCGTTTTACGGTGGGTTACTGTATTTACCCTGTGGTGACACACTACGGTTGCTAGCTAGGTAATAATCTATCCCGGGTGAGAGGAAACCTACAAAATTTGGTTTTTGAGGCTCTTTCGCATTACCGGGGGGGAGGGGCGATTTTTGGGTAAGAGTCTAGAAAACCCCCCTCCCCCAGCCGGCAACAACTTCTGTATCTCAGCCCCCTTTTGTGCTAGCGAGCTCTAAAGTATACCAAAATGTGCGCCGTAGGCTAATTAGTAAGACTACATTGCAGTTCAGTCGAAAAAAGTAGCGAAAAATAAAAATAAGGAAGGTAGAAAAGTTGAAAAGTCGGCTGGGGGGGGGGGGTTTCCTAGACTTGAGCCGATTTTTTGTCCAGAAATTCTCACAAGTATAGTTTACCATTTTATAGCGTTTCGTAGGATTTAAATATATTCGAAGAAGAAAAATCCAAATCCAAAACCCAAAACTTTGATTGCGGTAAAAAAAATCTATATTATTTTGGATTTTTAATAAAATTTTGAAAAGGTTTTTTTTGCTTTTATTTACGCAAAATGTAGGAATCCCTGAGAATTTTGCAACTTTGGTCGAATAATCGATATTTTTGTATTTTTTGATAAAAATTTGTAGAATCTACGTATAGAAATCATAAAAAACCGCATAATCCAAGTTTTTCTCAATATATGAAAAAAAATTGGATCCTAAAGTAAGGAAAAGTTGCAGCCCCCCCCCCCGATAACGTAAAAGTACCGTTTTTGTAATTTTGCTTTTTTTGGGTGTAAAGTAATGCTTTTTTAGGACTTTGATAGCGCCGAGGGCCGCCCGAATTTCGTCGCCAACTCGACGGTCCGCGACGACAAGGCACATGCAGATCGTAACCCGCTGCACACCATCATCACCGACATGTTCGTGCTGAGCAAACAGCCCGAGACGTACGACCCGGCTTCTAACTATCTCCATCCGTATCTGCGCCGGCGTACCAGCGGCACCCTCCGCCAATTCATCGCCAACTTCCTGGAGCGCATGCCGTGGGTCTTGGAATCGATACGGTTCTTCTCTCTTAGCGGGGGCTTAATTTTTATCCTTCCATTTGTTGATGTCCAAAAGATTTTAGGTTCTTTCCCATTATCGGGGGGGTCGGAAGCTTCAGTGACATAATAATAGTTTTATTTTTTTGCTAAAATCTCTCCATATTTCACCTGGAAAAATATTTACAAAATTTTTGTAAATGCCGAAATTTTTGTCGAAAATCTATGATGTTTTTTCTCGAAAAATCGATAATTTTGTACTTTTTAATAAAATTAATGCTTTGCAACACAATAAAGCGACCTCTATCAATATTCGCAAAATCGGACCCTGACAATTAACTTCAATGCGTTAAAAATGACCCAAAAACCCGCCTAAAACCCCCATTTAGCCGCTGTCGCTACGCCGAGAAGCTCTACTTTACGATCTGGCTCATCATCGGTGGGGTTTGAGCAGCAACCATGAGAGGGGTCGTTTTTAGTGCCGCTGATCGCCATCGCCGGCGTCATCTACGCGTTCAAAGGGGTCTTCATCTGGGAGCTCAGCTATCAACTCGTGGCTCTGGGCACGCTGGTAAGAGTTCGAGCGCCTTGTAAAAGCGTAGAACCCGAATTCTATCAGTTGGAAAGTAGCAATTACCCCCACTGTCTTCAGACGCTTGCGACGGCCGTGTACATCTACTGCAGCAACCTCTACTCCCGGGCGCGCGTCGATATCGCCTCGATGTTCTTTGTCGGTGGGGAAATCGTTGCTTCGAAATCAACTTGTCTCCTTGTTTAGTGGCGATCGGCATCCACGTGGTCGATATGCTCGCCCTCCTGCTCCACATTCTCTGCTTCAAGCACGAGCAGAAGGTGCTCCGGCGTAACTATGGCGTGAAGCCGAAGCAGGTCTAGAGGCCAGGTACCGTTTTATACCATCTACCATATCTCGGCTTCCCTTCATCCTACAAGGCTAAAAAGTATACCAAAATGCTCGTCTTGACCTGGCGAGTATTTTGGTATGCTTTACAACCCTGTATGACGACCGGAAGTCGAGATACCGTAGGCCGGTCCGGCTGTGCGGTGGGATATCGGCAGTCTTACCCATTATAAAGTACATTAAACAACTCTGTGACAACGTCGTTTAGTCCCTGCTGGAGCTGATGGCCTCAGACGCGCACCTCTTCCGGAAGCCAAGAAAACAATCTTCACACAACCCCCTGTTACCATGTCTGCCCACCACTTCTTCCCCGGCCTTTCTATCCCCGCTTCCTTTGTTGTGCATTTGCTGTCAATAAACCTGGTTGGAGCAGTATTTGGGTACATACCAATTTTAAAAATTTAAGCGCAAAACGTTGCAAAAAATGCGAAAATATTTGCCTCAAAATCGCCGGTTTTCCAAGAATTTCGGGTTTTAAAAATTTCTCTAATTTTTATAAATAGTATTTCCACTTGAAACATAGATTAAATGTTTCCAATCCTACTATATATAAAAAAATAGTGTCTGTGTGTGTGTGTGTATATTTGCATGCACTTCCGTTTGGATGTTCCGCACCTACAGCCTCGGGGAAGGGTTTTTTGGATAGGGAAGAAACGACAATAGGTTTAGAATGGTCCGGAATCGACTGCACACACATAAAAATTTTGAAAAATTGTGGTTTTCGCTATTAAAAATAGGTTTTTGTAAAACCCTGTTTGTTAGGGGAAATTAGCATGCGCCGGAAGTAGGAGGAGCCTATATAAAGGGACAAAAGGAGCCGTTTTTCACTTTTTTGCTAGAATTCAGGAAGAAACATGCAAATTAAGGACTTTCACAGGTCCTGGACGGGGCCAGGGTTGAAAAGCCGCGAAGCGGTTGCGCGAAAGAAGCGCGAAAGGCTAAATTGCGTTATATGGTCACTAAACGGATTTTGGATTTTTATATACCAAAATGCTCAGCAGTTCAAGCTGGTTCAGGATCAGTTGAAAAAACTATTGGGAAACACTTCTGGAGCGAGTTATAACACTTCAAAGTTGGCGAGTGTCGTATATGGTCACTAAACGGATTTTCGATTTTTATATGTCAAAATGCTCAGCGGGCCGAGCTGATTCTAGAACAGTTGAAAAAACCTTTGGGAAATACTTCTGGAGCGAGATATACCACTACAAAGTTTGGCGTCACCCCGGTCCACTAAATAACGTTGTCGCCCCGGCGAGTCAGTTTTCGGTGTTGCGAAAAATGGTTGGGTTCGAAATGGGTTTGGCATGAAACTACACACCCGATCTGAGCCTAAAAATAAGGCTTCGTGCCACCGGGGCCTAGTCGCTTCGGATGGTAGAGCTCGTACAGGGTTTCGAAATGGGGGCGCCAAGGCCGGCGAAGCGGCCGGGGCGCCCCATTTCGAAAGAGGAGCGGCAGCCCATCCGAAGGACGGCCACCTTGCCTGACTCATGGCATACGTTGAATAATATACCACTTTGAGATATACCACTTCGAAGTTGGGCTAAACAGCCCCCTATATACCGTGTTTTTGCCCCGGAAATTCCCGTTTTAGGGGGAAGATGGATAAGTGTGCGATAAGCGTTTGGCTTGACATTACACACTCGATCTGAGTCCTCAAAATAAGGCTTCGTGCCACCCCGGGGCCTAGTCGCTCGGATGGGTGCGAGCTCACTGGTGGCTCGAAACCGGACGCGGGAGGGTCGAAGCTAGGCGCCTCGACTTCGAAAGAGTGAGCGGCAGCCCATCCGAAGCGACGGCCCACCTGCCTGGCAATGTATTTTTTTACCCTTGAAACGGCAATTCTCCACCATTCCGTTTCTTTCCGATGTACAGTTGGCGTATTTCGGTGTACTACGTACTACTTCAGGGGCTGAATGGATTGCTTGTAAGCCAGATATCTCGCCCAGGAAGTATTTCCCAAAGGTTTTTTCAACTGTTCTAGAATCAAATAGGCCCGCTGAGCATTTTTTGGCATATAAAAATCGAAAATCCGTTTAGTGACCATATACGACACTCGCCAACTTTGAAGTGTTATAACTCGCTCCAGAAGTGTTTCCCAATAGTTTTTTCAACTGATTCCGAACCGCTTGAACTGCTGAGCATTTTGGTATATAAAAATCCAAAATCCACAGAAAGGGGACCATATAACGCAATTTTCCCAGGCTAAAAATACTATTGAATAGCTTTCCTTTTCATAAATAGGCTGAAACGGAACTCCAGACGAACACCCAGCCGACACCCACCGAATTGATCTCGGCGCCCCATGGCCCTATAGGGCTGTAAAGTATACCAAAATACTAGCCAGGCCAAGACGAACATCTTGGTATACTTTACACACCTGTCGATCAAATGGGAGCAGGGGCGTAGCCAGAAAAAAATTTCGGGGGGGGTCCCCAAAAAATTTATCCAAAAAACTCAAAACATTGCCGAAAAAACAGCGCCGCAGGCAAAAATTTTTGAAAAAAAGGGGTACAAGTAGGATAAGCGGGGGGAAATTTTAGGCGGGGGGAAACCAACTTTTTCCTGGTAGGCCCTGGTGGGGATAGTAATCAAATATAAAGTGTTTTCACATTGTTTTTAGCAAAATTTAAGCCTATTTGAATCCGAAAAATTTTTTAAAAAGTTAGAAAAACGCTTGAAAAAGTCGAAAATTTGGTCATTTTTGGGCCGAAAAAAGTGATTTTTAACCTAAAATTAAATTTTTTAATTAAGTTTTGTAAAGTTTTTATGTTTAGGAATAGCTATAAACAATTTAGAAACACTTCCATTATTTATATAAAAAAAAATAGGCTTGAGCGGAAAAAAGTTGGTTTCCCCCCCGCCTAAAATTTCCCCCCCCGCTTATCCTACTTGTACCAAAAAAGGTTGCATAGCTCTACAAATAGCCGTAAAAACGTGACAAAATAGCGCGGCAGGCAGCAAAATTTTTGAGAAAATAAAAATCATAAGGCTCCCCCCTTAAAAATTTCAGGCCCCGGCCGATTTCGGGGGGCCCGGGCCCCCGGGGCCTGTATTACGCTACGTCCCTGAATGGGAGCCAAGATACAGTAGGCGGGGGCCGGCCGAGGAGCTATCTGCATTTCGCCGGAACAAGATTTCCATAACCGTAAAATTGCATAAAGTTTTATCGCCTGCCCGCTTCCGCTCCGTAATTGGCATCATTCGCGCCACGATGCTGGGCTGGAGGGTTTGCCGTTTATTTCCAGCCATCAAATGTAAATTTCAGTTGCTAGTCTCCGTGCTGAACACGGTTCACCTCCTTGTCAGCGCCATCCTGCTGACGGCTTCGATCATGTCCTTCTTCGGGGACAAATCATCGACGTCTTCGAGGTAATCGAGGTCTTTTGCGGCTGAGTGGTCTTTTCCCCTCTTCAAACACTGCATTTCCATATACTTTTTAAAAGAAAATCAGGAAAGAAAAAGAAATAAAGCTTAAACAAAAATTGGTTTGTATTGGGGGCGACAGCCAACCCTTTCCCCGTCGTAAGCGTCGAAAGGGGCGCCGCGTTGCCCTGTTCCCGGCAATACTATAGTTGCACGGTAACAATAAAGTGCTACTAAAATTGTTATTTGTTAATTTTCTTCTAAAAAACTGTATGGAAATTGAGTATTCGACGAGGGGAACATTTTGAGATACTTCACGCATTAATTGGACGACTTGGAGGCGGATGCTGGCTGGGGGCGGGGGGGAGGGGTGAAACTAGCCTTTAGACTGTAACTAGACTCTAGCCTGTTCAAAGCTCGTATATTAGTCCCCAGTGGAATTACAGGACTGGCAATGGTATCAAAATGTAGCCTTTTTCTTTTCTTTCTTTCTTTTTCTTCCTTGATCTGTAGCGTAAGACGAAAATAGGTTTCAGTCGAAAAAAGCCAAAAATAAATATATGTGTGTGACATTGAAGCATGGCGACCTAATCTTTTTAAATGTTATCGTAAACAAAAATTTCTAACAATTTTTGATGTCAAGAAACAATTTTTTCATAGTAGTTCGACCATGGCGCCAATGTCGCCCATGCCGACCATGCCCAGTTTGCTTCGCCAACAATGCGACTGCTATCTGGCGATCGCCCCCCGCTGGACTCCGGACACCTTTTGCCAGTACGACGGCTGTCTCGCGTGAACAGGAACAGGAATATGTAGCGCCGCCGTTTGCTGTTTTGCAACTAAGGACATTTAGGCGGCGCGATGCGTCGGCTACGACATTGGTGACAAGAAGGATTTCCTGGACAAATTCAACAAAGACCTCGACGCAAAGGTAAAGTGGCTCGGCTCCCCGTTATCCTACCCGGTTGTAAAGTATACCAAAAGACTCGCGAGAAGGCGAACGTTACACACCTGTAGACGAACAGGGGCTAAACTCCAGACACCCCCCCCCTACCGTATCTCGGCTCCCTGGTCATCTACAAGTGTGTAAACTATACCAAAAGACTCGTCACAGCAAGATGAACATTTTGGTATACTTTACACACCTGTGGAGAACAGGTGGTCGAGATACAAAACTTGGGTGCCGGCTGGGGGGTATCTGGAATCTTACCCGAACAGGGGGCAAATATACAAGTTACCAAATTCCAAGCTGATCAGACCAGGGCCCCGGATAACAGCTCCCCACGCTAACGAACCAGAACCAAAATGAGCTCTTGCTTTAGGCCGAGGGGTCGCAGGCCATCACGGGATTCAAGAAAGCCAACCTGATGAAGGACCCCGCGCACACGCATAAGAACCCGTTGATGCCATCCATTGAGAAATTCTGGGAGACCCATGATGACGACAGGGGGCCGGTGGACAAAGCAGCCAAGAAACTACTCTCCTACAGCATGTGGGCCTGAGGATTTGTTGGACGAGGGTTCCTGTTACGCCCTGCCCCTAATTTTGTACTTCGGCTTCCCTTCATCCTACAAGGCTACAAAGTATACCAAAATGTGCGTCTTGGCCTGGCGAATGTTTTGATATACTTTACAACCCTGTAGAATAACGAGTAGCCGGGAACATTAGGTTAGTTGCGGCTGGGGGATCACCTGGACATCAGCCATATTTTTGCAATATTTGGTGCTTTCGCATTATCGGTGGGGGTCCAACTTTCTTGGAGCGGTTTCATGGTGTTTATGCACAATTTAGATATATTTTAAGTGGAAAAACAATAAAAACCAGTTAGAAAAATTTTCGGGCGAAAATCGATACAGTGTGTGTCAAAAAAGATAGGGACACCTTCTTTTTGCATTATCTCGACCCTTATCGATTTAGAGCAGAAGTCAAATAGTGGGTCTTGTTGAGCTTGAAACGGCGCATTTTTCATGTACTTGAAATGTCGCTAAAATAAATGACGCCATTTTTATAAGCGAGAGAAGAAAACAGCGCAAAAAACAGAAGTGTCAAAAAGATAGGGACACACTTTACATATAATTACCATCAACTTCGCGCTTGCAAATTACATGCTAATGAGGATTCCAAAGTCAACCCCAATTTTGACTTCCGGGTTCGCGGAGTAATCGAAAACCTGCATAGCCAAAAATTCACTTCATATCCTCAAATTAGCATGTAATTTGCAAGCGCGAAGTTGATGGTAATTATATGTAAAGTGTGTCCCTATCTTTTTGACACTTCTGTTTTTTTGCGCTGTTTTCTTCTCTCGCTTATAAAAATGGCGTCATTTATTTTAGCGACATTTCAAGTACATGAAAAAATGCGCCGTTTCAAGCTCAACAAGACCCACTATTTGACTTCTGCTCTAAATCGATAAGGGTCGAGATAATCGCAAAAAAGAAGGTGTCCCTATCTTTTTGACACACACTGTATTTCGGAAAATTGGATCCTTAGAAATGAGTTGTTTCCACCCTGATAATCCGAAAGAACCGAAAATTTGTTTCGCGCGTTTCGCCCGCTGACATTTTATTTGCAGTGACTGCGCAGATACCTACAAGATCGAAGCTACTACCCCCAAACCCGAAGGTAGCCCCGACCCCACAACAACCTCCGACCCCGAAGCTACCGTCGACGACGAAAACTACGCGCTCGTCATTCTGATCGGTGCGAATTCCTCCAATCAGAGCACAAACGAGCTGCATAGCGATATCCCTATGAAGTAGCACTTTGCAGTCCTCATCGTCAACCTGCTGGCCACCATTATCTCGTTCGTGGGCGTTTGCTGCGTGCGCAAGTGGTTCATGCAGTTGCCGCTCATTGTCATTGCGGTACCTTTACTTTGGTGCTTTCCCATTATCTGAGGGGAGCGGGACCGAAAATTTTTGTGTAAGTCTAGAAATGCTTAGCAAGTTAATAAAAAGTGTCTTATAGTGTTTTTGGTAACCTATAATTCTATTTCAACTAGAGAAACTATCTAAAAACTAGAAAATCTTGAAAGAAGTGGAAATTTTGGACAAAAATCGGCCTTTTTGTGTCGATAAATCGATATTTTTGATAAAAATTGTAAAGTTTTCACGTTTAGTTAGCAAAAGCCCATTTAGAACCAACTCCACAATTTATATTTGAACAATTAGCTCCTAAGAAAAAAAGTCCCCCCCCCGTTAATGCGAAAGAACCTCTACGTAGATCTACTTCTTTCGGACGGCAAATTTGGCAAGCACAGAAAACGGAATGGAAAGGACATTTTCTCTTACTGTTTTGACTGCTATGCCCATCAACAC